TTTCCTGAGAGTAAAAAACATGACATACTTTATCCAACTAACCTGTCTTAACATGACATACTTCATCCAACCGACCTGTCTAAACATGACATACTTCATCCAACTGACCTGTCTAAACATGACATGCTTGAGATGTATAAGATTCATCCCCTGTAGATTATAATCCATCATGAACTGTAGTTCAGGAGGAACATGACTCTCATGAGGCTGGAATACCTCTCCCAGTATAACTCCAGCATTGAGTAGATCAGATCCACGTTTCAGCATGGAGTAGCTGTAGAAGTAGATCTGTGCAACAAATCAAATCAAATCAAATCAAAGCAAATCAAATCAAATCAAATCAACTGAGCTCAGCTCAAACCAAGCTTAAGCGAACATCCTACTTTTTTATCTCACAGCCATTAACATTTAGTGACTTTGCTAAATCATGAATTATTGCTTGTTACAGATATTGGAATACAAAAAAAAGAACAATATCAATTTTGTCCTTTCAGAGTTCAAACTTAAGATCAAACAACATCTACTAGTTCGTATTAAATTAGACTTTAATATTAAAAGTTTATAAAATAATTTAAAATCGATAAAATCAACCAAAAGCGAAAAAAGCTGATTTTCAGACCAAGCTTTTAAAATTCTGAAAAATTTTATTTTTGATTTTTTGTGTTCCTTAACGAAGGTGTGTTGTCTTGGATGATATCCATAAAAAGGCCTTCCAGAGACCTTAACGGCCTTGTACACGTGCTGGATATCAGCCTGGATAGCATTAATTTATTTATCATCAAATTCAAAAATCTTTGAAGTATTTTGAAAAATCTTTTAAATTTAGTGATCTTGGCGACAAAAACTGGGTTCTTAGTAAACAATTCCTAATTTGTAAACAATCCATTATTCGAAAACAAAACAACCAAGCTTTTGAGTAGTGTTAAATAAAGTTTTTTTTTCAATTAACAAAGTAAAAAAATCATTTAAAAAATGGCGGATTTTCTTATTTGATAATTAAATGAGATATCCTACCTTTGACTGATTTAATGAGGTATTTATCGCTTTATCCAAAGCTGATGCTAACCTTTAAGAAGTACTAGTTATAATTAGAAACATTAATTTTATTTAACAAAATCTATTTAAATATTACGATAAATAAAATCTGCTTTCCACAGACAAATTTTGACCTTAAAAAATGTGCCATTGCAGTGCACAGAAACAGAAAGGTTTTCCTGTTTTGTCAAGATATACGATGATATACGAATATTGATCTGAAAGTTTCCCCATCTTGAGAAACCCAAACCGCCAACGGAGGATAAGTAATGCACCCGGCCAGAACTTATGGTCCGGTCCAACCCGGCCATCCCTAACAGGATGAAGTACTACCTGGAGTGGGGGTGGGGGGAGGGGGTTTCGTTTACAATTAAAATGTGACCTATAAGAGTAAGACCGGCTCTAAAACTAGTTTTGTTGTAATGTACCTGTATGTAAACCCTTCCTTCTCCTTCTCAGGCCAAGGTACATAAAGATACGGGAATATACCGTGGATATGCAAAGTCGTCTTCTGTCCTGGAAAAGGTAACTTACAGGGTTACCCACAAAGAAAAAGACTTTAATGAAGAGATGAAATTTCTTAATTATGAAGATCAAAAGATTGCATTTGGCGGTGTTACTATAAGACTAATTTGACTGGGAAAAGACCAGATAAAACTTCCAGAGAATCATGAAAGTAAGAAAGAGGTTTGAATATATTCTGTAAATCGTCTCTGAAGTCTCGTTCTTTGAAGGTAACCCTATTTCAAAAGCTTAGGCTATGGATCAGAAAACAAGATAAGTTCCAAGAAAATTTGCAACTTTTCTCTCCGTTTTCTAGTCTTATCCATTCCCATGTTCTTTTATTTTATCTTTAATATTTTCAATTCATTCTCTAATCTTCAATTTGGTCCATTTTTTATTAACATTTACTTAGTATTTTCTTGTAGTTTACCTGCTGGTGTGGAGCCGAACACCCTGAGTACAGGAACACGACGTACTTCATAACCTCGATCCGAGTAGAGAGGGTCCAGTCCAGACACAGGTTCACCCTAATATATATAAATTAAAGTGACTGTAGCCTTGAATTTATTTAGTCCTATTCCCACTGGTATCCTGAGTGAATCGGACACACTACCTCAAAATGGAAGATTACTTGAAATTACGACTACTATAGTACTACAACCACTTTTTGAAAATATCTTTAGTAGTTTCTATAAAATATCTCTCAAGATCTTTAAGATTTTACTCGTATTTTTTATAACCAAAAAAATTTGTTATTTAGATAATTAGATTATTTGGCACGTCCCACAATTTTTAAATGTACAAGAAAATTTGACTAAATATATCAATTAACAAGTATGCTGCGAATCGAAATTTTTGTATCCACTCCTTGAAATGTTTCAGGTTAATTTTATCAAATATAAAACTCATTATCAAGGGCGTATACAGGGTGGGGGGAACAGGGGGGCAGTGCCTCCCCTAGACCTTTCAAATCTTTTACTGAAAAGTGAGGAACATAAAAAAATGACTTGCAAGTTAATTGGAATGTATAGTGTATATGTACCTTTAAAGTATCTTATCCAAGAAGCCAAATGTTTTGAATTTACAGTTCGAATTTTGCCCCCCCCCCCTCCCCCCAGGAGCTCCTAGGTAGAGGGGGGAAATGTCGCACTTCGCGCATATTTGGCCCCCTAGCTTTATTTCTGTATACGCCCTTGTTGAAAATGGTTATTTATGTAAAATTGTGCTGTTCAGATATTTAGGTTATGTGGAAGATACCACTGATTGATCTTAGAGAATACATATTAGGCAAGATAAATAGTTCTAACCTCCCAAAATTTATATATTACCAAAAATCTGAACAATAATAATGATAATAATAATTATGAAAATAATATTAATGATAATAATAATATCAAATACCTGGTAGTGATCAAGAACAACAATCCGAACGGAGAGAAATGCTTCGTCAGCCTGACTTTGACTCATTTTCAGCTTGAGCACATATTCAGAAAAATCTTCAGTCTTCGTTCATTTTCAGGGAGTTCACTTTAAATCGAAGTTTTTTAGGAATTCACGGTTTTATAGGAGTTATTATTTTGATTGGGCGAATTGATATATGCTGATTTTTTTGATGTCACAATCACTTCACTATTTTCTTTAATTCTGAGTCTAGGATACTTAGTAGAAAGTACAGTGTACACTGTACAGGGTAGAGAGAACAGTACAGTACAACATGCAAGCTAAATTATTCCTACACTAAGTACATTACATTATATTGATGAAGAACTTACATGGGTTGCCTGCAAACTCTTCCTACCAACTGCTGTTAGAAAACATTTCTTCTGAAAAATTATTTTTAAAAATTCAGTTTTATAAATATATATTTATAGGCAATATTCCTTACACGTTAGCTAGTTTAAAATATAAAATTAAAGTACAAAAAAGAAAATTCTGGTGCAGCAGTTCAACTCTTATCATTCATAAATAAACACAGTGAAAATAAACGCAAGTCTATATTCAATATTCAATATAAACCATATCCTATCCTTAGAAAATTGGTGCATTTCAAAACTGAAAATAATTTTAGTATGGCCCAAGTAAGAACAATGGGTTATCACAGAAAGAAATAGTTAAAACAACAGTTTCACAGATAATAAAAACCATACCAAACATTGTTTTAGGAATAATTATCAAAATTTTATTTTATTACAAATGCGCGAAAATTGTAAAAATTTCGGCGATTAATCCCGGATAACTATCCAAAAATCCACCAGATGAAGAAAACCAGACAGAAGCCGACAACGGCGCCAAGAATGATGGTATCCCTCCGCTTCCTGAGCGTGATCCTGTTAACCAGACTGTTTATCACAGGGAACTTGTTCGTCAGATCGTTCAACTTCTTCTGGAACGCCTGAACAATCATGAAAGTTGGTAAACAGCCAATGATATTATGATGAACTGCCCCTAAAGGTTTAGTAATTTAAAAATGATAAACTAAATTGGAAACCCAGCTTTGCCTGGAAACTAAATTTTCTCCATAGCAGCGCTAAACCATTTATTTTAAACCAGGCTATGAGCAATCCCGTGGTTCTAATGAGTTCTCCAATCAAAACTGTTGCAAATCTGACATAAGTCATGATCGAACATACAAACAAACAAACAGAGATTACTATTTCATTTGTATCTATCTATCTATAAAATAAAACAAGACATTGGTATATATGTTCCCTATAGCCAGCCAAACGGCTGAACCGAATGGGCTGAAATTTTTCGAGGGGGACCTGGGGTAGCCCGGGGGTAATATAGGATGATTTTATTTTGTTTTAATCCCACGGGCAACGCCGGTCACTTTAGCTAATATATTATATAGTTATGATAATGTGTGGTGAAAAAAATTAAAAATATGTTAATTATTAACAAATCACAAAATCCTTTCATTTCTCATTGAAGCAAAATAAAAAGACGAGAATTATTCCAAAGATTTCAGGTTACCATGGTAGTTAAACATCATTAGTACATTTTATGAAAAATGTATTTGGGATTTTTCTGGAGAGTTTATTTAAGTTACACCGCGATTTTTCATGGTAGCCGGTGCAGTGGAGGGGGGGGGGCTGCAAGATTATAACAATACAAATACCTTGATAGTTTCCCTTTGAAAGACGAGATTTTCTCGTGTTTCCAGCGCAATATTAATCTGTTCATCAATCAACCTTTCAGAGTTCCTGAAATATCAAATATAATTTTAATTTCTTGAAATATCTGTTTAAAACCCCCCTCTCAAACTCAAAAACCATTTTTGGACCCAATTTGCTGAAAAATTTAAACACAATTTTAAGCTCTATCTTTTACCTGGTGTGTTCTGATTCCCTGAGCAGTGCATCCATCCTAGTTCCTCTACTCTTATCCTTGTTCCTATATATTCTAGATTATATCCTAGGTCCTTTATATTCTAGATGATTTCCTTCTTCCTATATATTCTATATTATATCCTTGTTCCTCTACTCTTAACCTTGTTCCTATATATTCTAGATTATATCCTAGATCCTATATATTCTAGATTATATCCTTGTTCCTATATAGGTCCTATATGTTCTAGATTATATCCTTGTTCCTATATATTCTAGATTATATCATAGGTCCGTTATATTCTAGATGATTTCCTCGTTTCTAAATATTCTAGATTAAATCCTAGGTCCTATATGTTCTAGATTATATCCTTGTTCATATATATTCTAGATTAAATCCTTGTTCCTATATATATTCTAGATTATACCCTTGTTCCTATATATTCTAATTATATCCTTGTTCCTATATATTCTAGATTATATCCTTGTTCCTATATATTCTAGATTATATCCTAGGTCCTATATATTCTAGATCATATCCTTGTTCCTATATATATTCTAGATTATATTCTTATTCCTATATATTCTAGATTATATCCTTGTTTCTATATACTCTAGATTATATCCTTGTTCCTATATATTCTAGATTATATCCTTGTTCCTAAATATTCTAAATAATATCTTTTTTTCTATATATTCTAGATTATATCCTTGTTCCTATATATTCTAGATTATATCCTTGTTCCTAAATATTCTAAATAATATCTTTTTTCCTATATATTCTAGATTATATCCTTGTTACTATATATTCTAGATTATATCCTTGTTCCTTTTTATGCTAAATTATATCCTTATTCCTTTATATTCTAGATTGTATCCTTGTTCCTATAAATTCTAGAAAATATCCTTGTTCCTTTATATTCTAAATTATATCCTTGTTCCTAAATATTCGAAAATTATATACTTGTTCCTATATATTCTAGATTCTATCCTTGTTCCTTTTTATGCTAAATTATATCCTTATTCTTTGAAATTCTAGATTGTATCCTTGTTCCTTAATATTCTGATTATATCCTTGTTCCTATATATTCTAGATTATATCCTTGTTCTTATATATTATAGATTAAATCCTTGTTTCTATAAATTCTAGATTATATTCTAGTTCCTACATACATATTCTAAATTATATCCTTGTCCCTATATATGTACCCAGGTGTACCTGAAGTCAGATATGGCTGTGTACTGTATGTACCTAAAGTCAGATATGTCTTTATGTACTGTATGTACCTGAAGTCAGATATGTCTGTATGTACTATATGTACCTGAATTCAGATATGTCTGTATGTACTATATGTACCTGAAGTCAGATATGTCTGTATGTACCTGAAGTCAGATATGTCTGTATGTACTATATGTACCTGAAGTCAGATATGTCTGTTTGTACAGATGAAAGTAAATCTTCTCGTTCAATAAGAGAAGTTATGTTTGCTGCAGTCTTCCTGAACTCCTGCCTTGAAATCAAAAAGATAATAGATAATGGATTAGGTATACATTTAAATATGGCATGCCTTTAGATTTGTTTGTATCCAATAAACGGTTAAACTGATCGGGCAGACATTTTTAAGTGGGAACTCACATAACCCCTGGAAAAGATTCAACGAATTATTAAAATAAAAAATTATGCCTGGAAAAAATCTTAGAAATTTAACAGGAAAATCAACAATTTAAAGCTAAAACTAATTACTATGAAAGGTGCGCGAAGGGATCTTAAAGCCTTAAAGAGCGTTAAATCTATATATAAGTTTTAGTCTCCTAACTCATGAATCCTGGACGAATTTGCCTTAAATGATTGAAGAACTCAGGAGAGCCACGGGAATGTTCTTAGCCTGGTACAAGGATTCTAAGTTGAGTGGGTAGACATTTATTTTGAAAATTTAGTTTTCCGGTAAAATCGACAAAGTGCGGGTAAACGGCGGGAGATAACTATGAGTATTGAGTAACCTGGGCAACGCTGGGTTCTCAAGCTAGTGTCAAATAAAGAAATCTACCTGTAGTCCTGCAGTATCTCTGTATGTCTCTGTAGAGTATGATGAATAGCTGCTGATTGTGAGCTACCAGGAGCACCAGCAAACTCGGACATCTCATTGTTAACCTGCAATCAAATAGTGATAGAACTTTTATACAACTGTCATTTTACTCGGGACTATAACTCGTCACGTCAACTGTATGGAAATCATGTATGACATTTTTAATGGTTAGGTTTGGCTTCCTGAGAATCCGTTGGGCTGAACGCTGCGGCTAAGACCGGTTTTTTAAAGAAAGCAAAAAGTCACATAGCAAAAATGACGTTGGCAAAAGGCATAAAACAAAAATTGCATAAAATTTAACCTTTTTATTAGTTTTAATTGAATTTTATGGTCTATCTCACCAGAGTATATAAATAAAATAAAAAATGAAAAAAAAAACAACATTAATCCATCATATTTTCATTCTTTACCTTGCTGAGTTCATCAATTAGAAGTTCTATTTCTGTTCCCAACTTTTCTACACTTTCAGTTTGGGAGATCAAGGGTTGTTTATCCTAAGCATATTCAAGGGGTATTAGAATTAAGGCATAATCATTCATGGAGTATTAGAACTAAGGAGGGGAGATCCAGGCATATTCATGGAGTATTAACATTAAGGGGAGAAGGATCAGGGGTTCTTAATCCTAGGCATATTCATGGAGAATTAGAACTAAGGACTAAGGAGGGAGGGAGATTCATAAATATTCATGGAGTATTACACTAAGGAGGGGAGATCCAAACATATTCATGGAGTATTAGAACTAAGGAGTTGTAGATCAAGGATGCTTATTTCATCCTATCAAGATGCATTAGAACTAAGGAGAGAGGGGGATCCAGACATATTCCAGCAGTATTAGAAATAAGGAGGGGAGATCCAGGCATATTCATGGAGTATTAGAACTAAGGAGTAGTAGATCAAGGGTTGTTTATCCCTGGCATATTCAAGATGTATTAGAACTAAGGAGAGAGGGGAATCCAGACATATTCCAGCAGTATTAGAACTAAGGAAGGGAGATCAAATATTGACCTGTAAAATTGGTTTTTGGAAAACGTAAATCAAGTCAAAATTTTTAAATAAATATTTGTGTTACCTCCGGTNATTACACTAAGGAGGGGAGATCCAAACATATTCATGGAGTATTAGAACTAAGGAGTTGTAGATCAAGGATGCTTATTTCATCCTATCAAGATGTATTAGAACTAAGGAGAGAGGGGAATCCAGACATATTCCAGCAGTATTAGAACTAAGGAAGGGAGATCAAATATTGACCTGTAAAATTGGTTTTTGGAAAACGTAAATCAAGTCAAAATTTTTAAATAAATATTTGTGTTACCTCCGGTCCTTTCTTTCTGCCGAGACTTGTTCCCAGTTTACTGTAGGAGACAAGCTTAACATCAATATCATTTTCTAGATTTCTTGCTCTTTTCCTCAATCCTTCCCAACCACCAGGTTTACCAGATACTAGAACATATTAATCATATATAAAAGGGAATATTTTAGATTTATTCCTCAATCCTTCCCAACCACCAGGTTTACCAGATACGAGAACATATTAAACATATTAAAGGGAATATTTTAGATGTATTCCTCAATCCTTCCCAACCACCAGGTTTAACAGGTACTAGAACACATTAAACATATTAAAGGGAACATTCTAGATTGCTTGCACTATTCATCAATCCTTCCCAACCACCAAGTTTACCAAATACTAGAACATATTAAACAAATTAAAGGGAATATTCTAGATGTATTCCTCAATCCTTCCCAACCACCAGGTTTACCAGATACTAGAACATATTACACATATTAAAGGGAATATTTTAGATTTATTCCACAATCCTTCCCAACCACCAGGTTTACCAGATACTAGAACATATTAAACATATTAAAGGGAATATTCTAGATTTATTCTTCCATCCTTCCCAACCACCAGGTTTACCAGGTACTAAAACAAATTAAACATATTAAAGGGAATATTCTAGAAGTATTCCTCAATCCTTCCCAACCACCAGGTTTACCAGATACTAGAACATATTACACATATTAAAGGGAATATTTTAGATTTATTCCTCAATCCTTCCCAACCACCAGGTTTACCAGATACTAGAACATATTACACATATTAAAGGGAATATTTTAGATTTATTCCTCAATCCTTCCCAACCACCAGGTTTACCAGAAACTAGAACATTTTAGAAACATTGTGATCAGTTAGATTTTTAGAAGTATTTAAGTCTGCAATTGATGTTTTTCGTTAAAACTAGAGATGCCGATACTAAGTACATTCGAGTTTTTGTATTGAAAAATATATTTCCGGTCAAGTTAATGAATGAGTTTTAACTTTTCGGTCATATCAATAATGATATCATATTTAATTAGGGCAGTTGACCAAGGAAGTTACGTTCACTTGCCGCGTTGAATTACAAGAAGAGAGAGATTAGTATATATTTTAGGGTTAGATAATAGATTACTTTAAGACACTTTCTGGGCCTAGCGCTGCGGCTAAGACTGGCTAGGGGGCCCAGCGCCGCGGCTAGAACAGGCTCTCTCTGCCTTGTAATTCAACTCAGTATGCGCACGCAAGTTTCTTGAGTTCTGCCTATCTTTTATAAAGGGGTAAATAGTCCCTCATCTTCACTTTGTAAACTTAACTTATATTTTACTCAAGCTTTTAAATTTCTTCTTTGAAGAAAACGAATATAAAAATATTGATATTTTCGTTTTTAACACATTTATTGTATAATTTGTTAAGTACTTGTTTGGCTACCTAGCTCTGCCTGAAAAATAAGTTTTTGCCAACTCACTCAACTATAAATATTCAAACCAAGCGAAGAACATTCCCGTGGTTCCACCGAGTTCCAGAATCAGGAGTTATGATCGGACAAACAAACTAAAACTTCTTCATAAAATACTAACTTGATTTAATTTGATACAAATTTTGTCACAATTTTCCCTTAGATTCCCCTTGTTTTCTGTAAATACTGTTTTCCCTCCAAAACCATTAAAATACATTAAAATTATTTCCGTTCTAGATTTTACACCTTCAGGGGTTGTTATTTAATAAGAAACCAGGGCTTATAACTTTTAGGTGGAGTATTGTTAATATTGAACGCTTCATCTCGATATCTAATGTGGGAATTTTCAAATTTGAGGATACACACTTGATCCCGCAAGACAAATTATAATAACATAATTTTTGAAATCCAATACAATAACAATAACAAGAATTTTAGGCACGCCCTTTACCAGAGAAATAGTAAGGAGGGAAGGTTATGGGGACTCAGACTCTCCCCCCCCCCCCCCTCGAATCAATACAATCTTTGGTTTTCGGGTTTTGTTCAAGCTTTGCGCCCCCCCCCCCCGAAAAAAACTTGAGCCTTTCCTAAACAAATTCCTACTTACGCAATCACGTTTAAATCCCAAAGCGATTAACAAAATCGAGAAATCGAAAATGAATCAAAATATTTTGAAGTGAAGTTTGTAGAAAATATTGACAGTAAATATTGCGGGGCAGAGGCTGCATAATATTGTTAAATTCGACAGTTATAAATAGACCGGGGGAGTTAAACAATTCAACACTAGTATTTAAAGGAACCTAGTTTTTACTCAAGTGAAACACTAAACAGAGGAGGTGCATGCTTGATTCACAACGGTACATTAACACCTGAATCTGATCAATAAAAAGTGCAGATAGTATTTTTTTTCTGACAATTTCACAGAGAAAACCTGGATATTTTTATCATTCTTAATCAGAAGACGCTTTTAAGGCTACCGTTGAAAAAAATTAAGGGTCGTTCGTAATTACGTGAACAGTCCCTTTAAAAAATATATTTTCAGTAACACATTTCTGTAGAGACAAAATGACGCGAAGGCCCTGTTCAACATTTGAACAAATGTTCAAAAAGAAGGTCCTTACTAAGGTAAGCATTCTATGCCGTGTTGGTTGAAGGGAATGATTGATAACAAATAAAAGGATTAATACTAATGAAATTTTAGTTAAATTGGAAATTAATTTATGAAAAAAAGGTCTAAGTAAAATTCTCTAAAAAAATCTGATTAAAATGAAAATATTAGTTATCAATTCTTCCACTTTTTAGCTCACAATTTTTTGTCTCTAAGGAAAATTAGGACTTGGCTGTCAGCGGCAGATATAAACAAATTCTATCCACCTTGCCTTAGTTTTAATCCTTGCTTATTAAAATCTAACAATTATTAAATATTTACAAATGATTGACCCTTTAAGCACTAACTTCTTAAATTAATAAATATAATTATGATATAAATTTTAGAACACCCTGGCTGAGTCAGTTAAGGATAACACTGCACTAGATATAGCTGCCTACAGGTTCACACTCAGAAACAAGTTTCCAAGGGGATGGGGGATGGGGGGGAGTATATTGGCTACTTATAAACAACAAATATTTGTTAAAAATCAGTAAATGATAAACGAATTTTAAGAAAAACCTTTGAAAAATTTGACGATGACGGAAATGGAGAAATAGATGTAGGAGAATTCGGAACAATGAGTAAGTTATTTTAAAGTTTGTATAGAAAAAAAAACATAAATATTTTTCTTTAGTTCGAAGTTTGGGACTTTCTCCAACAGATTCGGAGATTCAGGTATGGTTTTGGACATATTGGTGTGTTCTTATTTAACGTTCAGTGGATCCCCCCCCTCTCAATATCTATCTTTCTTAACCTAACCTAACTTCAACAGTGTAATGTTTAGAGGACGTTTTATTTTAGAATGAAAGGGGTGGGGAAGGGTCCAAAATAATTACCATATGACCGGAAATTAGATTGTTTTTATTTTTGGCTAACTTTCAATTAGTGAATCAGTGTGGACTAAGGCTCAAAAAATAGGAAAGAAATTGACCAACATGAAATCAATGCGTAATTATGGCACATATTCCTCAAACCCTTTGAGGTTAACAAGATTATTCATAAAAAATTTAATAAAACGTCAAAATTTTTATTTGTGACTAGATTCTGTTTAATAAAATGGACACGGATGAAAGTGGATTCATTGAGTTTAACGAGTTCATTCATATCCTGGATCATTCCATCATGAACCGGACTAGAGAGGACACAAAGGATATACTGCTTAGTTCATTTAGGTAAATATCATGAACCAGACTAGAGAGGAGATACAAGAGATATACTGCTTAGTTCATTTAGGTAAATATCATGAACCGGACTAGGCAGGATAAAAGGAATATACTGCATAGTTCATTAAGGTAAATATCAGGAACCGAACAAGGGAGAATACATGGGATATACTGCTCAGTTCATTTAGGTAAATATCATGAGCGGACTAGGAAGGATACAAGAAATATATTGCTTAGTTCATTTAGGTAAATATCATGAACCGGACTAGATAGGACACAAGGGACACACTGCTTAGTTCATTTAGGTGAATATCATGAACCAGACTAGAGAGAATACAAGGGATACACTGTTCATTTATGTAAATATCATGAACCAGACTATCATGAATCGGACTAGGGAAAATACAAGGGATATACTGCTTAGTTCATTTGGGTAAATATCATGAACCGGACTAAGGAAAATACAAGGGATAAACTGCTTATTTCATTTAGTTAAATATCATGAACCTGACTAGGGAAAATACAAGGGATATACTGCTTGGTTTATTTGGGTAAATATCATGAACCGGACTAGGTAAAATACAAGGAATATACTGCTTAGTTTATTTGGGTAAATATCATTAACCTGACTAGGGAGTATAAGGGGATTGGTTCTCCAATTAACTTTAAATATTAATCGCTTGGATCTTTCTATGTCGATGGATCAAATATTTTTTTTCTTAGTTTCCTTAGTAGCAGAGCATTGCAGCCAACAAGTTCTTTAAGATAGATTTATTTAGAAAGCTGCAACCGAACAGATTGATGAAGGTGAATGATCTGAAGAAAGTTTTGACACAATATGGATCTATGGCCATGACAGAAGATGAGGTAGTGATAACAGTAATATACAAAACAATGATCTTTTATTTATATCTAAAATGTTACTTTAGATTTTAGAATGTTTTATCTATAATAAATGTTCAGTAAAAAGGTACATACAAATTAAAAGATCCTAGGTAACATTTTCATTTAAAAAACAAGGGAAGACGACTTTTACTCCGCCGTTTTCAAGACTGTGCTTCCTTGATAAGAAATTTTGTACATCTGTACAAAGATATTGTAAACGTAATTTCAGAGGACCCTCCATTTAAAAAGTTTCCGATTCGTGTTGTAATGAGGACATTTTTCTATCTTTCTACTAATTTTCAATTCAGAAAATTTCCCTCATGGTCTCCGACAATTAAAAAAAAATCAATTTTCAGTTAGAAAACCAAGGCTGACATGAGCACAGGTCTAAAGGGTGCCATAATGAATCAAGCATGCCACATTGGGTCCCTTATAGTTACGTCTTCAGTTCCTTTTTATTTGAATGCAAATATAATGTTGCATTCAAAGCCCAAAGGTAAATAACTGTTTGTTGTAAAAACCTTGTATTGTTCAAAGGTTGAGGATTTGATCCGACAAGTGAATCCGTCCTCCACTCTCAAGTAAGCAATCCATCAATCAATCAATCATACTTTTAGGAACGTCCTATGACCTCAAAATGACTTAGTTGGATGTGAAATAAGGATTTATAATTTTCCATGTAATTGTAGCGCTCTTTGTGCGAATTTTATTGTAGTAAAGTTTAGTTACATGTAAAAATTTGGATTATGCTTTATTGCAGCGGATATCCGACATTTACCAAATTACGTATTACAGCAACATAAAACTGCAGGGGTCTTCCTAGTTCCAGTACACGGTTCAATAAATATTTTTTTGTCACTTTAAAAAAAAATCTAATTTTAAGATCATGATTATAAAAAAAAGAGTGCGCCAACAAAAAAGATAAAAGTGTGTTCCCTTTGCTAACAACGTGTGAAATATTTTAATTGGCTAACAAGTAATAATCTATGTTTCAGCGATGACATGGATTACAATAATCTATGTTTCAGCGATGACATGGATTACAATAATCTATGTTTCAGAGATGAAGTGGATTACAATAATCTTGTGGAAAAACTTGTTGAAAATTAAAAACACCAAGAACAGAAATTACTCAGTATCTTATGTACTATGTGTCCAGCTAAATATATTGCAGCTACTTTATTGATTAAAAGATAATAAACTGGTTGAAGAGAGTGTAAGCATAATTTCAAGTGCCCCCTCAAGCAAAGAGGCAATGTCCGATTTACGACGGTATCCTTAAAAGCTTTGTCTCCTCGAGTATGAATTTATAATTTCGATAACTGATTATTTTTAATTTTGGTTTCTCAAAGTAACTGCGCATTTCTATTGCATTAAAACATAAAGGACTGGAAATATCAGATTTAAACACTTTACAAGCTAGAAATACGACAGCAGGACTGGAAATATCAAATTTAAACACTTTAGAAACTAGAAATACGACTACAGGACTGGAAATATCAGATTTAAACACTTTAAAAACTAGAAATACGACAGCAGGACTGGAAATATCAGATTTAAACACTTTAGAAACTAGAAATACGACAGCAGGGCTGGAAATATCAGATTTAAACACTTTAGAAACTAGAAATACGACAGCATCTTTCAAATTTTTGATTAGATAAGGTTTCAAGTGTACCGTTGTGAAATTACGCTTAGTCTCTTAAACAATGTTTGACCATTTAATTTATTAATGTCATTAATCATTCCAGAACTCTTTCTATCAGATTTTGTCCCCCCCCCCTCTCATTAATCAAATCTTTATAAATTGACAATTGTAACAAAGCATGAATCTAAACGCTGAAACACTCACCCGCCATTTTAGAGTTAAAATATTTAGAATCAAAGCCTGTATCAAAATCTGCCCAGCTCATTTCATTATATACCTGAAATAAAAAACTATTAAATAAGAGCAAACTTTTTAATTTAAACACATTTACATTTTTTTAAGAAACAGATGTTATTCGAAACCAAACGAGATTTTACACTCAGTAGACCTTTTTAGAGACCTCTTGCAGAAAAATAGGGTTCTTCAGTGATTAAAGGGGATGGAAATCATCGGAACAGCTTTATTTAAAAAATTAGATAAATTGTAGGATCTGTAGACAGTAGTTGATATGTCGATCTCCGCAGTTCGTCAATATCTAAACAAATTAATGCTAGTACAACATTAAAAATTTTGATATTTTCATTCTGGTTTGATAGCTAACAGGGGAGGGGGGAAGACATTTGCACCCCCTGAGATTTCAGAATAGCTTCTCAATAGCACTTAAGAGTAAGAAAACCTAGTGCATAACAGGAAAAAATATCTATCTTAAAAAGATTTTCACCTGCAGCGCGTTTTTTGCTTTTTTTTTGGGTCCGAAATATATCTAGCATCCCAATCACTTAAATCCCGTATCCGCCCCTGATAGCTAGCATTCTTGTAATTCTTTTTTTGTAGTGATTTTCTCCTTAATTCTTTTTGTGTGTTTTTATCTTTTTTTATCGAGTCCGCCTGGTGCGGAAACAATCATTTTATATCTTGTAATTATTAAAAGTTGAATTTATAAATATTGTTTTTTTTTCTGCAGAATTAAATGACTTGATTTGATTTAAATTATAGAAAAAAGGAAACAGTGTTGCATCACTAAAATTCTACCACACAAGTTTACTTCTCTAACTTCAAGGTGTTGGAAGATATACTAGAGTGGTAGGCGATTATATCAATACAATGAAGACGTCTTTTTATTTAAGTTTTGATTGTTTACAAGCTTTTTTAAAATTACAAGTTTACAGTATTTAAAGAGAAGCTTTATAAATTGACAGCTTCTGTTCGTTTCCATGTTAATGTGTAATAATGCTGTTTGAAAGCTGGATATAAATCAAAATTGAAATAAAAAGTCGTATTCCTTGTATTGATATATGCGACGACGACTGTAGGTCACAAAGACATACCACTAGTGTGTCCTAGTCATAAAATTCAGAGATAAAAAAAATAAGAATAAAACAAGAAATAAAAGAAAATGCTTTTTGTATACTTCCTTAACTTTTTCACAACAAATCAATTTTAAGATTTAGTTCTTATTTTCAACTTTGAGAATTCTGTAAAAACCAGAATTATGGCACACAATCAAATCAGCTCAGCTCAGCTCAGCTCAGCTCAGCTCAGCTCAGCTCAGCTCAGCTCAACTCAACTCAACTCAACTCAACTCAACTCAACTCAACTCAACTCAACTCAAATTAAAGAAATGTAAAAGTGAAAAACTCTTTGTCACGCATTTACCTTTAATTCAAGCTTTTCTCTATAGTTTTCTAGTTCTCATTCATTTAAACAAAATACATTTTATTTGATCTGAAAAAATCACTAAATTTAGAAGATGAGGAAAACATATCTAAAAAATTTACAATTAAAAAATGGTCTTAGTCAAGCTTACAATCAGCGTTTCGGATCCGGATCCGGTCGGATCCGTATCATTTGGTCGGATCCGGATCCGTATCAGGAAACGTTGATATGGATCCGGGTAGCGCCAAAAATTAACCAAAATCATGGAATAAATAAATCAAAATGGTTCGTAAATGTATTATTTACATGACGAAAATTTTTCAAAATTATCTTTAATAATTTAATGTTTACATTTATATAATAGTAATAACGACATTTTTAACTTTAGGATTACTCAGTTACCTCGGATCCGGATCCGGATCCATAATCACGGATGCGGATCCGCATCAAAATGATACGGATCCGAAACACTGCTTACAATACAAAATTAACACAACTAAATAAACTTTGGTGGGATTGAATCAAGTAAAAAAATACAGATACATGAGATACATAATGATTTCCACAGAATGATGATTAACATTATCATGATATTGCCCTTCCTCAGTGGAATTACACGCTATATGGGATTTCCACCCACCATTATCATAATTATTGTTACTTACATTCAACCTACAGTCAAAGTATCATGCTCTGCAGGCTATGTCAGGTTAAGTTATCACTATTGAAACGTGAGAGAGTTTAAAGAATTGAGGACAAAAAATATTTTAATTGCGCATTTTTTCATCAATCGATCAGGCATTTTGAGGTACGTCCTCCTGACACCACAATTAATCCAAACTGAATATACAAAGACAGGACTCAGAACTGGAACAAGGTTGAATAGCTTGCAATATGCCAATTATACAATTTTAATAGAAGGAGTTGTTTGTTTTGAGAATTAATATTTGCATTATTCTGATCCATTATTCTTCAAACTCCAGGGATACTTAAAGCTTGTCAAGGATCTCCGACACATCCTGAACCTGATTGACTCCGGGTCTCCTGATATACAGGTAAACCCCGTTTTCAACACCATGGACATTCGGGACAGTCTAGAAAAATATAAATCAGTTTTATAAAAAATAAACGTAACAAGCTTAAAGGGATTATTAACGTTATTTCTTTTTTGAACGACTTAAGTTTTCTTTCTTTAAAATCAACGATATTTAAAAAATCTAAGGAATTGAGTTTTTGACACAAACTGTTGCATTCCTTTATGGTGAAAATCTTTAACTTAAATTATTTAATATAACAGAATTCATAGTTTGAAAAATCTAAGGTCTACGATATTGGGTTGCAAAGATATATCGATCCTAAAATCGGTGTTTGTGGAAAAGACTCAATTCCTTTAATGTAAAAAAGCCAAATCTAACTTCATAATAATAATAAAAAAAAAATAATAGTTAAATAAAAACTTTATTTTTCCAACGCTCAAACAAGTATTTATAAAATTCATGGAGTTTCTAAAATCTATAAATTAAATAAGATTAAGGAAAATGTAAATGTATACGATATGTGAAAATGTGACCTTCATGTACAGGGATACAGTGGAGTCGCATGCCAAACCTCTTAGATACTCTCTTGCTCTGAAGCAAAATAATTTAAAGGCACAGTAACCGTAATTTTAATTGACTCTCCATGCAAAGAGGACAATTCCCGATTAACAATCGTACCATTATTTAATTATGACAAAGGGCCTCATTTGTCCTCTGAGTGGCTCTAAAAAACGAGTAACACGACCCATCAGCATCCCCATTAGATAATGAGACGTGAGCCTCAGGGAGGGGCCTGTTAATCTGATTAGTAATGTAAAAAATATCATCAATGTGTTTTTTCTAGGTTTAGAAGTGTTTGTTTCTGATAATTCCTATATGTTTAATGATTAATGGAGAAACCACAAGTGAAATTAATCATTTTTCTAAATTATAAAAAATGAGGGGTGGCGTTGTGTAATAAAATAACGCCCCCTGTATGTTTGCAACATATAAAACGTTCAGCTTAAACTGTTAAGAAATAAATATTTAAAATTATATCTAATTCAAACTTTGTCAATAAAAAATGAGGGGTGGCGTTGTGTAATAAAATAACGCCCCCTGTATGTTTGCAACATATAAAACGTTCAGCTTAAACTGTTAAGAAATAAATATCTAAAATTATATCTAATTCAAACTTTGTCAAACAAAGCTGTTAAGTATACCGTTGTTTATCTGGAATTTCCATTTTTGCATGGAGGGTCAATTGGAATTACGCTTACAGTCTCTTAAAAGAACTTATTCTCATTAAAAAATATTTCAGATAAGGAAACCATATCAAAGGAAAAATACTTTTTTAAATTGAAAAATTATTTTTACCTTTTCATCCAACCATCATCTTTCATCGGCCCCATGTAGAGAAGTGAACAGTCTCTTGCCTGAGCAAAGAAATTAATCTTAATGGAACCTTAGGTCTAAACTTATGCCTAGACCTCAACTTGATCTTGGTTTAAGCCTAGACCTTAACCTTGACACTAACATGAGCATAGACCTCAACCTTGATCTGACTTTACCCTTGACCTCAAGTTGATTTAGGCTTAAACCTAGACCTTAACCTTAATCTGGACTTAGATCCAGATTCAACTTGAACTGGACTTAAACCTGATATACACCTTGATCTGGACTTAGACCCAAACCTCAACCTTAACCTGGGCTAAGACCCAGATTTAAACTTGATCTGGACTTAAGCCCTTACCAAGACCATTCTATATCAAATTTTTACCCCGAGTTGACCTTGACCTTTAGACCTAAATTACCAGGGAAGGTAGGTTGGCTACTGAAGGAGAAATGTCTCTGAGAAACCTTGGATTGATATCTCTACAGATACCATGGTCTAGCAAATACACTCTAACAATACTCTCTAGATATTTATTATTCATGTTTTTCATGTACTTCTCATTCACAACGGTACCCTTCAAGGTTTTGTATGATCAAGAATGCATGAGGTATCAATCACCGTCTCTTTTTATTTAATTGTCACTTCTTTATATAATGTCACTTGCGCATTTTTTTCTTCAGAAAAAAGGAGGAAATTTTCAAAATAAAACACGACGATATCTTCCACATTATTAACTTGGTAAAGGTATAAAGGCTACCGTTGTGAATCGTTCATGTCCGTCTTTAAAGGGAAGGTCACTAGAAATTACAACGACAATAGTTTTGGATACTTATATACTGCTTGACTTGATGCATTCAAATGTTCCTAGGATTATGATCATTTTGTCGACTAGCTTTCCTCCATCAATTAATAAAAGCTGAAGTATAATTATTTCTCGTTTAAAAGGCTACCGTTGTGAATCGTTCATGTCCGTCTTTAAAGGGAAGGTCACTAGAAATTACAACGACAATAGTTTTGGATACTTATATACTGCTTGATTTGATGCATTCAAATGTTCCTAGGATTATGATCATTTTGTCGACTAGCTTTCCTCCATCAATTAATAAAAGCTGAAGTATAATTATTTCTCGTTTTCTTATTGTTTGATAATAAATAAATATATCTTGTCAAACCATTATTCTTTGTACGGTGAGACCCACAGCACTTTGGAAAAGGAAGAAAACTTAATTTATTAATTAAAATTTCGTGTCATATTTAAACAAACAGATTTCACTCAATAAGATGATTTTTTAGCTACAGCTAAAAATGTTTGATTTTACACATCGTCAAATACACATAATAATTTTAAAATGTCGTCTTGCTATTCCATAGTTTTACGGGTCTCGCTATATAAATATATATATAAAATATTCATTAAATAAGTTGTATTTATCGAAACATGAACAATTCCTGTTTCTCCATGTTCCTAAAACAAAACAAAAAATTAGAGACAAATTTAGATTTTTGAAAATTATACATCTAAATCATGAAAATCAAATCAACTCAGACTGGACGCCGAATTCTAAACTTGAATCAATGATTCCAAAATTTTGCCAGCGCGCATTAGAAATTCGTAATTAAACAGTTCAACATTTGTTGATAAAAAGTATTAATACATTTTCTACCAAAATTAAAAGCTAAGAAATAAAAATTTGAAATTAAGTATAAACCAATTGTCTAAAGAAGCTTTATAAGATTCATTATATTGATGTCATTTTCATCTAAAGTACAAGCTTTTATATCTCATTGATTTCCGAAGTCTACTCTGGTTTCAAACCGACAATAACTTTATGAACACAGATATCAGCATAAGATTTTATATTGATCAAATATTTTTACAGTTATCCCACAAAACAGTAGAAAGACGACTTGAAGGTCATCTTAGATCTTCGAATCGGCATTTTCAAAATGATGTCTGCTTTTTCATCAATATTACCGGGGATATTAAGCATTTCGCTCAGATTTTTATTATTTAACAAATACAAAAATTGTCTAAAGATAAAATTTCTTAATATCACCGGTAATATTATTAATTCTAGAATGAAAATTCTAAAATCAGGTTTACACATAAAATGCCACAAATTATTTCAAAGATAAAAGACGACCTTCAAGTCGTCTGGCTACAATCATGTTTCGATGGATACCCTGTATGATAACAGTCGTTTATAAAAATCCACCTGTATCTGCACTCTGCACCAGTCAAACTTTGCGTCCTTGAATCCATAAACCTTACAAAAATTCTTGTGAAAACTTTTTACTACAGTAAGGCCTATTACTGTGGAATAGGAAGACGAGACTCAAGTAATATCATGTGCATTGTGGTTGTAAAGAAGTAAATACTAGGAACGGTCTGTATCACTGCACATTTGATCATTAGACTATTTAGATTCAGAACTTAAGTATAACAGTCAATTTGGCATATTCCACAAGTTTATGGGTTCTAGCGGTATTATCAAATTGGAGGTTCAATTTCCCTTTTAGCTTAAGGGTTTCAGTCCTGAGGACTTAATTGTATTAAATCCGGCTCAGCCTAGGAATCCCAGGCTTAGCCAGATGATATCCAATACAAAAGTTTTGCCCTTTGATCTTTTACTTAAATTGTAATTTGAGTAGGTTTAGGATTAGGTCCATATCGCATAATAAATTTGAGTAGGTTTAGGATTAGGTCCATATCACATAATAAATTTGAGTAGGTTTAAGATTAGGTCCATATCACATAATAAATTTGAGTAGGTTTAGGATTAGGTCCATATCACATAATAAATTGATTTTAAAGCTACACTTGCCTTCTACCTATTCCACAGTTTTTGGGTTCCACTGTACTTTTACAGATAAAGGGTTACCTGCCCGCTTCCAGAATACAGTTCAAGCTGCCGATCCAACAACTGGTTATTCAGGCTTATCTCTTCAGATATTATCTAGAAATATTATTATTAAGAAATATTTATCTCTTCAGATATTATCTAGAAATATTATTATTAAGAAATATTTATCTCTTCAGATATTATCTAGAAATATTATTATTCAGAAATATATATCTCTTCAAATATAATCTGGAAATATTATTATTTAGAAATATTTATTCTTCAGATATTATCTTGAAATATTATTATTTAGAAATATTTATCTCTTCAAATATTATCTTGAAATAGTATTATTTAGAAATATTTATTCTTCAGATATTATCTTGAAATATTATTAATTAGAAATATTTATCTCTTCAAATATTATCTTAAAATATTATTATTTAGAAATATTTATCTCTTCAAATATTATCTGGAAATATTTTTCTCTTCAGATATTATCTAGAAATATTTTTCTCATCAGATATTATCAAGAAATATTTATCTCTTGAGATATATAAAGAAACATTGAAACATTTATCTCTCTCAAGATTATCTAGAAATTTCTAACCTTTATTTCAAAGATAATTAAATATAATCTAAACATTAGAACCTTTAAAATAATAGAATAATGCTCTATTTTTAGGTCACCTTCAATTCACAATAAACCCATCAAACTTCTTTTTGATCAATTATTTGAAATATATCGCATTTTTTCTTGCGTGAGAAGTATTAAATTCTGTTAATTTGTAAATAATCGATTTCCAAAGAGAGGATGATGCACTCAATGCAAAAAGCGTACCACGATGTCAATCAGACATTCCACTAAAAAAAATTTACCTTAGGGGAAAATTCCCCAATGAATTCGTCTTCAGCGGATTCACAGGCAACGAACAGAGTTTCAAAAGAGATTACTTTCAATATCTAAATACATTCATTAATCTTACTTCAAGTGAAAGGAAAGTAAATATTAAAATCTTTTATAAAAAAGATATTGAAAAGAGCGAAATATTATGATTTTGAAATGTAATGCTTTTTCTCATATTGTGCCTAAAATTAAAACTAGAAGCAACAGGGTCACAAAATTACAAGACGAAGATTTTACAGTTAGTTTGTTCAAGCTACTTAAAAGTAACATTAAAATTACAATCAAATGCCTCGTAAACTAAAGACGATTAAGAAATTCAAAATCAATTCTTACCTTAATCCGGATAAGACTACTAGAACTGATTTCCTTGATTTCCCAATTAGTTTGGCTAACCATCTCAACTGAATAGGGATTGAATAAAAATAACGAAAGATATCAATATAACGAAAGCCAAAGCACAGTTTGCTTGAACCAACTTTAGGTTGAGTTATTGGAAGGATTATGGACACGGATTTACTTCTGGATACAGTTACAGCTCCATCTTTCAGTCCAGTGTGCCTCAGACTTTGTCGTTGAGCTATCTGAGTTATTTATGGCTTTCAGGTCAGGCAGCCCCATATCAACAATGTTTAAGGGATCTACAAAATCACAAAACTCACTTTTGGATTTTTTAACGGATTTTCTCGGATTTTCTCTTGAAACCGAAATTATGACTATTGAATCCTGCTTAAATTTTTCTTAATGATCTCAAAGACAAACTATAATATGCCTTGAAATCACATATGCAAACTGTGATAGCATTAATTATTAAAATAACGAAAACCATGACAATAATAATAACAAAAGCAACAAGTACTATACAATCTAATAATAAAAATAATACAAATTTTAATAGTCGTGGCCTAAAGCTAAGAGAGAAAAAACATTTTTAAAAAGTGAAAAGTTGAAACTGTGTACAGAACTCTGAATACTAAGGACTGCTGAAGATCCAGTCATTTAGAGTTTTTTTTCCACTCTTCTATACATCTAAAATTCATTAAAGTGACTGTAAGCATAATATCAAGAGACCTTCCATGCAAAGATGGCAATGTCCGATTCACAACGGTATACTTAAAATCTTTGTCTGATCAAGTATGAATTAAATATCAATGTTAAAATTTGTAAACTGATTATTTTCAACCGGGGTTTCTCTACAAAAGTGACTTGGCAATTTTACTGAAAGCGAACATAGGAACCTTGGAAAACGGCAATGTCTTTTTAATGGTACCGTTGTAAATCGGGGATTGTCATTGCCTGAAATTACCTTTACAGAACCTTTAATACCAAAAAAAATCAGGTTGAATGTGATCTAATCATGTAAACGATCATTTATCAATAACTTACCTTGTCTTGGGACAATAGTTGGATCAGTATGGGAGTGTGCACAGAATTCGTCCAGGGAGCATTTACCATAAAGAAGAAATTTTGAACAAGGCTCCCGCTTAACCCTAGATACAAAATATTATTTTTTAAAAATGTTTACCCCCTGGGTACCCATGGTTTTTTTCCCAAAAATTTCAGCCAATTTTGTCCAGCCGTTTGGCCACCACTAAAAAAGAAATTTATCATAAAGATTTTACAGATTTTTACCTTTTATTACAGATTGATTCTTGCAAACTAATCATTTACAGAAAAAAAATTATTTTGATTGAATTGATTTTGTCACTCTTTAAATGAAAGTCACACACACATTCTCTTCTTCAGTAAATGTTTTTATTTTCTAATCTTTTATACTCAAATTCTACTCGAACCCCTAAGGAAATGATTTACTGTACGTTATCGCTTTTAATTACAGTTAAAAATAATAAGAACAAATTCTCGGGCTAGTTTATACAGTCTGAAGACTTTTCTCGTCCGCAAACTTGTGTCTGTGATTGTAAATATTTAAAATATGAATGTTTTTATCTTATGACATTTAAATCAAACATATATTGCTAATATTTAACCTGTAAATTAGTTTAAAATATACATTATTATTATTATTATGTATATTTGTAAAAACTCCTACTTGAATCTATCAATGGAAACAGCAACATCATCATCTGGGGTCGTGTAGTTGTTCATTGGAGAATCAAAATCTTCCTCCATAGCCTTCCAATTAGTTAGATTCATGGTGCTATTGGGATCCTCATCCACCTAGAATAATAAATATGATAACGACAACGACAACGACAACGACAACGACAACGACAACGACAAAACAATGATAATAATAATAAAAATAATGATAATAATAATAGTTATCTTTAGTACACATGCTGTCAGAATTGAATAATAGTTAGTTGGCAACTAAGACGACCTTGCATTTGTATTAATAGAACTAACTAAAAGTAATAATCGATTGGACTAAAGTTCATAATCATTTAGAAGTACAATAGGGGAAAAGAAAGAAGGGAAGCAAATTCTTAAAATATGAGAAAAAAAATATTATTTAAAAACGAAGTTTGAGAAAATTTAAAAAAAAAATGGAGCAGAGGGAAAAACTAAATGTAAAGATATGAGTAAGGTAAATAAATGGGAAGAAAAGACAAAAAGGACAAAGAGAAGAAAAGGTAGGAAAAGGTTAAACACAACATCCCTACAACCGATATCTTCAAGTACCTCGGTATTTTCAAGTACCTCGAGTACCTCAAGTAACTTAAAATGTTCAAGTCATTCAAGTACCTTGGTATCTTCAATATCACCAAGTTCCTCAATATCTTCGATATTAACTAATGTTTGGTTTTTCATTGCGAGATTTAGATCACAAATAAGTCTGAAATAGAGATTGAACTATTACTCAATACAATAAAGATCATCAATTTAGGGTAAAAGTGTATCATAAAGTATTCATTTTACAAACTACGAATAACAACCAAAACCAAAAAAGGATTATGCCTAAGTCTGTGTAAGGGATGATGATCCTTTTTGTAAATGTTGAATTTGAGCCTAATTATTAAAAATTATGGATTTGAGCCTAATTATTAAAAATCATGGATTTTAGCCTAATTATTAAAAATGTTGATTTGAGCCTAATTATTAAAACTAGAACAAGAAATGACAGAAAACAAACAAAATACTGTAGAAATCAAAGAAATGCTAATAAATACCTATTAATCTCTATATTTTCAGAGAACAAATTAAGCCCAATAGAATCCTTTTCAACATCAAAATCAACTATGTATCCTAAAAATATTAATAGATTGGGTTATATTCGAGCCTGGAAAAGTTCAACGTAACAAAGCCTGCAGTACATGATACTTTGATTGTAGGTTGAATGATAATAATATTAATAATTTGGGTAGTAATAATAATTTAGAGAACATGTTGATAATTATTAAGTAATTAAAGTAAACATGTAAATAATGTATGTAAAAATTTCAAAAAATGTACTATGTACATTTAATACTGTAACTTTAGTACTTTTACTTCCGTAGTTCTGAAGTTAAAAATGTCTTATAATGATGGAACTAATTAACATGTAAATTTTTAATGAATGCAGAGGCCGGATTTAAACATGGTTGGTTCCACTTGAAATTTTTGGTGTTTTGAGATTTGAGCCGGCGCTCAATTGGAATCGGGTTTGGGCGATTCAGCGACGCGGTTTAAATTATTTAAACTCAGCCTCAGTATATTTGAATGGATGATCAATTAAAATTCCGTGGAGAGTTTCTTTAATCTAACTAATATCCAACCTTGAAGTACTCCCTGGCATATATCCCCTATATCCTGAAGATGTTGATGAGAGGCAGGAACACATAGAACTTGAGCAAGGTGACATGAGAACCCAAGTCCAGGTAGCTGGGAGGCTAATCCAGCTGGTAACCATCTCAACTCATCCAACTTTAATGGAAAGAGTAACTTTATTTCTAATACTTTTACAGGGGTGTATATTTTCTTAAAAATAATCACCCCCCATTCTTTCAGAAGTTAGAAATTTTCGCGGAGCCCCTTTTTTGGGTTTTTTTTTGTACTTTTAGACTTCCATCAATCTATTGATAGGATGTTTAAAAGGTATGGAGACGATGCAAAACCATAGCAGTCAACAACTTTCGTAGCGCGACTATACCGAGTCACTTTCTCCTCCTCCAAACCACCTGTCTCTCTCTACTCCCCTCTACCGGCAGAACAGTCATTCTTCCCCCGAGTTCCAACCAAGACAGTTTTCTCTAGCTTCTTTCATAAAAGATGAAAAAAAAACTTGCCTTTTGATGGTAAATTTTCACCCCCCCCCCCCCCTAAATTCTTTAACCTTGAGAAGTCTGATAAGACGCAGAAGAAAATTATCTTTTAAGTGCGCTCTATTTCCACAAATTTTTTAATTTTTTTTTGACTTGATATTATAACTTTGATTATGAAGTTACGAAGACTCTAATTGTAAATTCGAGTGAGGCTCCGTTAGTTGAGTGGCTTTTATGATTCATAAGGGTAACCTTGACAGCTTAGGATAATCTAGGATGAATAAGATATCAAAGTTTACATCTGTAAATTTTTTTTTTTTCAGTTATGGGTTCTCAACAAAATTAACTTTAACAATGCGCATTTCTCCTCCAGAAGCACAGGGAGGCAGTTATCTGGATTACACACTTTCAGTTAGATATCAACAATATCTTCCACATTAAGGATCAATAATGGGTCATACGTTACCGTTGTGAATCAGACATGCCCCTCTTTTTAAATAAAGAGTAACTAGAACTTATTGGTAGAATTAAAAATGGCCTCTACCTTGACATAAGAAAAGTTTCCTGAATCTATGAGTTTCACCAAAGCCTCTTCCGAAGCAAGCTCCAATAGTTCAACCCGAACCCAACTACTACAATTTTATTTACAGTGATAACCAGAAAACTCTGAACGAACTTAAGAATAAAAATATAACTTCAAAAAGCCAGATGAGTATGGAATAAAGCAATTGTGCAGTGTAAACAGACCCAGTTCACTTAATAAGTGATTTAACAAGTGTCTAGTAAAACTAATTGTTTCGTAACATCATAGAATAGAATTAAGTATTGCTATAAAGTCGTCTTCCTTTTTCAGAGTTTTCTGGTTATCCCTGTAGTTATCATTATTATTGTTATCATTGCGGACACCGATTTAACTTGGGGGTTCATTTAGAGAGTTTTTGACAGATGTAAGACTCTGTGGCCAATTTATGGACAAAGATATTGTTTGTTACATTTTTCTCTACATTAGAGACTAAAAAGACTAAGTTACCATACGCTATAAAGTCATAATCAGAAAGACCCGGAATTAATTGACAGTTAATCAGGCGATTTTACATATATCTCTGGCAATTTCAAATGCTCAAAAAAAGCCAGACCACATTTTGGAAATGGCTGGACTAGGAATACTTTGTGATTATCGTTTCATCAATCATATTTGTAAAATTAGATTGTAAAGTCGTCTGATTAATTGTAAATTAATTCCGGGTCTTTCAGATTAGGCCTGTATTGTATATGGCAGATTGTTTGGCAGATGTTAGGTAACAATGAGGACAGTTTTGGGGTTACAATGAGGAGAATGAAATAATTGTTGACCTCAAAGTTGATTGCCCTCTCCAAGCCCAAGAGGATCCCACCACTAGATATTGTGGATCTACTCCAGGTTCCATCTCAAGCTCTGCCAACCTAAACAGTGTCTTCCGTCCTTAAAGGTTTTTAGTCCGGATCTTCTACCTATAGTCCTACATCGGCGGATCAAATTTCAATGAATTTGATAAAAGTTCACTACTCCTTTAGTAGATGTTCTTCTTTAAAAAAAAAATACAGGATACAAAATTCTTAATTGTAAGAAAAATGTGTTCACGTGTCTCAAAAGTAATATATGACGCTATAAAAGTAAATTCACGATGATTTTAATAATGGTGCGGTTTGGGCGAATTAATGGTGAGCGCAATATCGAGAAGCTGAGTTTGTGGTGTGGATGAAAACCGGCTGCGTTGTGCCTAAACTACCTAATTGGAACAATACAGTTAATTACAAAATGCTGGCGGAGTTGGTTTAAAAATTCAAGAAAAAAAGTTGCCAGTTCAAATCAAAATTTTCGATTTCCCCTAAATCTTTTTTGCAGACAATATTATACTTCTGCTTTGGGGGGAGGATAATTTTTTGCTATTGATCATTTTGTTTAAATAATCCTGACATTAATAAATGAGCTGTACCTTAGCTCCTTCTCTATAATTTGCGCTTCATGACTCCTGGTGACATCAATGCTGCAGAAACTACCAGTGTCCTCAAACAGATTCACTCTCAAGTAAATAGGATTACGGCGCAACTAAAAATAAATATTGATGACAAAATTTCTGTTTAGCAAAGTACATATTTCCTTGAAAAATGCTGATTTGGGGGGAAATATGAATATTAGTTTAATGGAGGAAATTATTGAATTTTTGGATAACGAGTATCAAAAACCTTGCTAGTTGAAACCAATTTTATCATTCTTCGGCTCCCCATGCAGATAATCAGTATTGCGCTCTATTGATCAGGAAAACAGTGAGGCCCACAAAACTGTGAACTATGCCGACATTTAAGCAATTTAATGTGTATTTGATGCTGCTATAAAGCAAATAGTTTTGCCCGTAGTTTGAAATCTGTTTAAACTGCAAAATTGCTGTGTTTCTTGTTCATTAGACTTCTAACAGTCGTCTTTCTATTTCACAGTGTTATGGGTCCACTGTATCTGAAGCATTTCCAAAATGTACAGACCTGAAAGATAGCTGACTCTAGAAATATTGGTTCGCGTTTCTCAATTGGCTGAATTGGTTTACACGTGCTGACGCCCATATTCATGCTGTTGGTTGTACTGCTGGAGTAGCTACTTATAGTGCTGATCCAGATATTCCCGCTATCAAAATTATTGCTATCAAGGGGTTTCATGTCTTCGTTCATCTTCATGTCGTTGCTGATGTTGATGTTGATGTTGATGTTGACATTATCGTTGTTGTTAGAGTTCTTCATGATGCTATTGCTGTTGATGTTGTTGGTGATTTCCTTTACATCAATCTTACTGCGACTGCTACTACTGAAGTTGTGAATGTTCTTAGTGTTCCTGGAGGCAGGAGCTGAATAGCTTGGGCTCGTATGTGCATTAGAATTCTTGTTTAACACACGCTCAATATCTAAACATTTATTAGTAAAATTAAAGTTTTAGGGACGCTATACTTCCTAGATAACAGCCTTGGAGTTAATTTAATAAATCAAGACTGAGTTATGGCTTTACAGCTTGTGGAAGATATTTTTAAGTCAATTATTGACTTGTTTTTAACAAATTTTGTTACTCATCTAGAATTGACAGAAACTAAACTAATGATATTAATAAAAATAATTGCTGCAAACTTCCTAAGAGATCAGGCTTAAGTTCCCACTTACTGTCCATTAAAGTTCCCATAAAATCAACTCATTTATGAGCTGAGTGTAAACTCATGGGTGGGAGTCATGCCAGTTGCGTGTAAACTCCTCTGTGAGAATCAAGCCACTTGAGCGTAAACTCATCTGTGGGAGTCAAGCCAGTTGAGTGTAAACTCATATGTGAGAGTTAAGCCAGTTGAGTGTAAACTCATAGGTGGGATTCATGCCAGTTGAGTGTAAACTTTTCTGTAAGAGTCAAACCAGTTGAGTGTAAACTCATATGTGAGAGTCACACCAGTTGAGTGTAAACTCATGGGTGGGAGTAATGCCAGTTGAGTGTAAACTCATGGGTGGGAGTAATGCCAGTTGAGTGCAAACTTATCTGTGGGAGTCAAGCCAGTTAAATGTTAACTCTTAGGTGGGAGTAATGCCAGTTGAGTGTAAACTCAATCTGTGGGAGTCAAGGCAATGACGGTCTGCCATGGAATTATCTGTACACTTATCAGATTTCTAATGTAATAAAATTAAACTCACCATCTGTAACATTTTCCACATCTTTGATCTCCAACTTCTGCAACCACTGATTCACATAACTGGTCTTGTCGGGGCTATAAAAGAATTAAATAAATAAAAAATGTTTTTCCCTTAATTAGGGGAATAATTTCAGGATTCCATAAAATGTTATTTTTACCTGCAGTTCAGTTTGTCAAATATATCTTCGGGTTTTCTGAACATAAACAATATTTTCAAATTTTTTATTAAAAAGGCTTTACAAAGATGGTAGCAAAGGAGTACAATACAAATTGCAAATCTGTTCAAGTGAAAATTTAGTAGCAGTTATTAATTATTAAGTAAAGAATACAAAAAATTCAAAATTTCAGAAATCGTCGACATGTTAAAATATCGATAAAAAATAGCGAAATAATACATAAGTGCAAATTTCATCATATTTATCAAAAAAGTACTTTTTTTAATTTGTTATGGCTTTTCATTTCACTTAATTTTAAGGAGTATTAAGAAGGATGAGATTATCATTTTATCAAATCAAATCAAATCAAATCAAATCAAATCAAATCAAATCAAATCAAATCAAATCAAATCAAATCAAATCAAATCAAATCAAATCAAATCAAATCAAATCAAATCAAATCAAATCAAATCAAATCAAATCAAATCAAATCAAATCAAATCAAATCAAATCAAATCAAATCAAATCAAATCAAATCAAATCAAATCAAATCAAATCAAATCAAATCAAATCAAATCAAATCAAATCAAANAAAAACTTATCGGAAACTAAAGTTTATCGATTTTTGGGTTCTATATTGAGCAACCAAGTGGCATCTTTGGGGAATATAAAACTATTTTAAATGTTTGTTACAAACAATACGACTTTTCTTAGCATTCAGTCCGAAGATTACTGGACACTTCAAAACTAGAAAAACTAAAATATCTTCTACGTTACTGATCCTTCAGATAAAGGTTTAAGTGTATTTTACCGCAGTAAATCGGGAATTCCTATTTTTTCATGAAGCATCATTTGAAGTTACGCTTCCAGTCGTCCCCTGAGGTGATACTTATTAAATTTTTTCCGCCCTTGAGTAAAGCAAAGAGAAGTTTTCTAAAAAAAAAGCTGTTCCTGTGCATTCGGAATCTGGTCCCAGTCCAGGGAATCAATATAGCAGAGACAGTCTTGAATCTTAAATACAAAAATACATAACAAATACAGAGTTTAGAATACGGATTCATTGGATCTGCAACATTTCGGCCTCTTAAATCCTCATAGGGATACGAAAAATGTGCAGAGCCAAGGGTAAAAACGTTGAAAACCTGTAAAAAAAAAAATTTATTCATCAAAATCTGAATCTGAACTGTTAAAAAGAGAGATTATTAAACTTTTCCTTTTCTCTACATTTTTGTTGAGTTTTAACATAAAAATAGGCAAAAAAAATTGAAATTATTTTGTTAAAAAAATCAATAAATCTTAAAGAAATGTTGATGACCTGGATCCAAATCTAGATCCGAAGCACTAAAAGAAATAATTAGAAAATGGTCACCTTCCATTTGTCAAAGAACTTCTTCTTCTTCCTCCTCTTATCAGAAAATTTACAAGTGAAGGCCTTTAAAATCATTCAATTAAATAATTAACAGATTCCTTGTTGTATTCGTTAGAGGGATTGTATGCGTAGTTTAAAGTAACATTCCATTTAAAGGGTTTTTTAAAAATATGTCGATGTTAATTGGTTTTATTAGTTTATTTAACTTTTAATAAAACTGTATTTTATTGAAACTGTATTAAACTTTGCAATATCTTTATCTCAAGAAAGAAAAAATGGAAGTACCAACCCAAAGAACTATTTATTTTACAAGATTCTTTTTAGGTTCGTTTCATGCATTATATTTTCTCTCAGGGTCAAATTTGGCATAGTGTAAGAAAACCTTAAAAATATGTTTAGAATTAACTATGCTAAATTTTGGCCCTGAGAGAAAATATATGAAAGAGAGAAAATATATAAAAAAATGAAGCAAAAACAAACCAGAAGCAAAACTTACGGAAATGCCATTCTTAAACCGGTGATTCACTTGAAATTCCGTCTACAGTCCCTTTAATTGGTGTACTAATGATGGTGTATCTTTCGATCTACGCAAATCCGCTATATTCCACTTCTGACCTACGCCAAATCCGCTATACTACACATCGGCTCTACTAGCACAGGGTTTTACAGCTGCTAAATGGACTTGTAGCCGCAGCGCCCGGCCTGCTAGCCTGTCCTAGACGCGGCGCTCGGCCCCCTAGTCTGTCCTAGCCGCAGCGCCCTAGAAATTGTCTTAACCTAACCCTCAAATAATACAAAAATAAACAGCTGGCGTAGGTCCGATATTGCAGTAGGTCGGAAAGTTAGTAGGTCAGAAGTTCAGTAGGCGGAGGGGGGGGGGGGGGTGTTGCGTATAGACAATTCTTATTGACCTGATAAGGAATTGAATCCAATGCTTGAATGTGGAAATAAAGCGCCGAGCCGGTAACAGAATCCATATTTCCGAAATCAAGGAAGCGAACCCTGAAATTTATCAATTAAAACATTAATATTACAGACAAGACCATCTAGGTATCTAGAGGGTGTGTGTATACAGAAATGCTTGTGGTGACCGTATAGGCTTGACCCCTACCCATGAATTAACAATTAGTCCTAGCTTGGTGAATTTATTATTAACATCCTTGCAATCAAACGAAACATTTGAAGGAACTAGAGACGGATTTTCAGGAAATGATTGATTGTAATTAAATTAAGTGGCCTTTTAATTAAAACGCAAAGCTAAAGTCCATTGTCCATACTCAAGATCCAAGATGACAGTACAAAATTGAGTTCTACGTTTGGGTTTACACTTTGTAATATTTGACTTTGTGTAATAAAGGTATTGAAGTATTTTCTTTTTGCAATTACATCGGACAACAGACATTGTGCCAACCATCCGCAATCCTGGATTTAAGTATGCGGAATGCGAATTTAAGGGGCTATATATATATATAAACCATATATGCATGGTTTTACCTGAATTTATCTGAACTCATTATTTTCTCTATTCTTCCACGATATAAACAAAAATCCGACCACCTAAATATTTCTATTAGTATTGTCTTGAACAAAATAAAAAAGTCGAATTCAGTTGACCAGAGGTGGAATTTAATGGACCACAGGTCGCATTTGATGGACCAGAGGTAGAATTCAGTGGAACAAAGGTAGAATTCAATGGACCAGAGGTCGAATACAATGGACCAGAGTCTAGAGGTTGAATTTTATGAACCAGAGGTGGAAGTCAATGGACCAGAGATAAAATTACATGGACCGGAGATCGAATTTAATGGATCAGAGGTAGAATTGAATGGAACAAAGGTCGAAATTAATTAAACGCAAGAATTATTTGAGCTACTTTTTAAATGCACTCTTGATCGTAATATGCCTAGCTAGTGCAACAACTTATCGCTATTCATTAATTCCAAACTTAGGTTCGGAACTGTAGACTCAAATCAGTACTAAGTAGTGTAGACATCAGAGTTTTAGGTACTAACCACCCACCTCAAAATGAATCTACTAAATTAAGAAAGCTTTGTGGACATACCGCTTGTAAAATACGTAGTTAACTCTAATTTTTGATTTAAAATTCCACAATATATGGTTTCTTCACTGGGGGGTATTTTTTATTTTGTATCCTATTACCTCGCAATCACGTTGTCACCGACTTGAACTTTCTGTAGATCCTCTTTACTCATCTGTCTTCTTACACTATTCTAGAAATAAACAAATAAACTTTCAAAGGTTTATATTTTGATTTTGTAAGATCTGGGGAGGGGGGGGGGAGTAAATTTGGACAAATTCAAGTTTTTTCATCAGTTTTGATAATTTTTACCAAAAATTTTCCCCTAAAAATCATTTGTTTCTCTCCTATTCAGAAAAAAAAACTTAAAAAACTACTTTTAAAAGAAGATTTCCACCCCTGTAAAGATGTCAAAATATATCATATAAAACTATCTAAATTATGATAAAAATAATGATTTATTTTTTCTCTCAACTGCTTTTGACTACTCCATAATAAGTTTATTTAGAAGGAATGTTTGAAAATGTTGAGGGTACATTGCATTGAGGGTCACATGAAATTACAATATTTCCGAGGAACTCAATAAACTGCGAAATAAGTTTATTTTCAAGCTACTGCTATAACATTTATTTTGCTTCGTAACAACACATCATAATGCCGTCTTCCTGTTCCACAGTTTTATAGATCAGAAATGTTTATACGTAAAATTTTACTTACATGAATCAGACTTTGAATCTTCTGTGTGTGAGGTGAGAGCATACACACCCAGTGAACATCATCCCTCACACTACAATCAATCAATCATAATAAAATAAAGGTCGGAACTTTTGTACAGTTAATCCCTTGATAAAGCACTAATCAGGATTAAGTTTCTCTTCTAAGGTCTGACATAATAGAACAAATCCTTTAGATTTATCTCAACACGATAGAAACATCAACAAAACAAAAGCAAGGGCATATACACTGACGCAAGGGGCGTGCCCATTTTATGCTTGTGAAGGGGAAAGGGGTGTAGCCCCTAGAATTAATCCGTTTTAATATTAAAAAAATAAGAGAAAGCTTGAATTTTGAGATAGACAGAGATTCAGTATTTTGTCTTGATATAAGGAATCATCAAGAAATATAATCCCGACATGCACCCCCCCCCCTCCTCCACAATAAGAAAGAATACTTGACCTCTGTACGAAATAAAGATTATATTCTCTGCCTGCAGAAACAGTTGTCAACAACTCACGAACCTTAACAATCAAAAATAAAAATAATTAATTTTCAGAATTTGTTTAAAGTTTTTGTAAAAGTTTTTTAAGAGCAAAAGACAGACCAGAAAAAGCAACCCTGACAAGATGTCGTCTGCATTGTTTCAATTTCGCGAAATTCGCAAAAATAATTGAATAGAAGGATAACAGCTTTTCCATTATTATTTTGGCACTATTTGAAATGTTCATATTCAAATTTAATAAATCTACATTAGAATATGTTCGATATCCTATAAAAACTTCTATAAGATGATCGTAGTAGTGATAGTTGTAATATACATGACGGACGGTCCCTTGAAAATTTCTTCTAAATGTACAGAGCACGACTCATAAAACTGTAGAGTTGGTAGACGACTGTAAGCCACCAGTTGGTTAAATAGTAAAATGAAGATAAAGCAAAGCAATTATGAAGTGAACACAGGACAATTTCCATTAATAAGAATATATAAAGCACCTATCTGCTTTAAAAACATCAAATGTCGTATTCCACAGTTTTATGAGTCTCGCTATGTAAACAAATACGTGATTTCAAAACTGTTTCCTGGCCAACCTCCTGAATTCTCTTCGCATCAGTATCATCATGTTCTACGTTATTCTCCATGATGTCGGTCAAGGATTTATCTGGAGAATCAGAACAGCTTAAAACCTCTCTCGCTGTCTAAATATTTGTTAACGAAATTAACATTGGAATTTTTACATAATTGCTAGAAAATTTTCGTGATTTTATTCTTGATTTGAATATTATTTGTTAATCACTGAAAAAAATAAGACATAATTTCTTAAACTTCGTTAGTGCAGTATTATTAAAAACATCGCTTAAAATGTGCCCACTGTCAGCCTGTCCTGACATTTTTTACATAATAAATTTAAAAATCAAAACAATCAACTCATGTTTGTAACTTATATATTCTAAACTCTATAAAACTCACTTGCAAGACAAGAAAAATCAAGTATTTTCGAAAATTATTAAACTTCTTTCCGAATTACCTTGTAACTACAGGATGAACTGCTCGCAATATTGAGACCAGGCATTGATCACCATTTACAAATTTTCATTTAACTTGTTCAAAAAATATCTGAAACAGAATTTCTAAAACTTAATCGTCAATAACTATAAAATAAATAAAACAATATTAACCCCCAGACAGTAGATAATTCAAATTAAAATGGCCATTGGGAATTTTTAAAATTCATCGTTGCCCTATTAAATATATTTATATATTTTTGACTATATTTTTAAACAGTGTTATTTTGACTATTATTAAAGGACTCCCAATCATTTATTAAAAAGTGGATCGACACAACGAAATGTGTCCAAGGTCAATGCCCAAAACAGTCTGATTCCCAAATTTCTTATTTGTTTTAAAATATTTTGTCAATAGAAAGCTAAAAAAAATGGCAACCCACAATTATTAAGTATGTAAATTACAAACAAAAGGTGGATAAAATATATATATATATTCAACCAAATTAAAGAAAAAAATTATACGGGAAAAAACTTATCGGTTCAAATTATTTCAATAATAAATTACAGGTTCAAAAAAATTTTAAAGTTTCTTTTTGAACTTATAAGTTATTTGCAAAGAAATTTCCAGCTAGTTGTTTTTGTTGTGATTACTAGTCCAGAACTTCACAAGAAGTAACAAGTCGAAGATACAAAAATATAAGTTTCTTTAAAAAATGGGTTACTGTTAAAAGTTATATGTATACATGTTCAAATAAAGAAGTTACTAATATAGAAACAATCTTTACATAAATTGCATAGCTATGAAGGCAGTATAAAAATATAACAATCAAAAATTAAAATGTAAATTTATCATAAAAAAATGCAAAAAATAGGTATCACATAAAGTTACGAAGAATGCAAACATCTGATAGAATGATATGTGATGCTTTAGAATAGATATCACATTAAAATTGAGTATTGTTATATAGATATATATATAATATATAGTTAGTATAAATATAAAAAACATTAGTTACAGAAGTCACGATATCCAAATCATCTGAAAATCCCTATAATTACATAATAGTTCCGCTTTGTTTATAATCCCAACAATCCCTTTTTCCTCCTGTACTCCCGCTGTCGTTGGATTGCATAGTCCACAAAATCAAAGTCAATGTTTGAGTTCTTCGCCTAAAAATGCATTTTTGAATTTTTTCTTGGTTCTTAAATAATCAAGGAACAGAAAAATTGCCAACAAGCGAGGTTTTTTATCTCAATATTTTTAATTTACATATCTTTGCAACCTGATTAAGTAAACCTTATAAATTTTGATCAATCATTAGCCATAGTTCGAGAAACCAAAGGTCTACACCGTCAGGTTGCCAAGATATTAGGATTTGTGACAAGTGTTCACTATTCAGTTCCTTAGAAGTCAAGAATACTAGTTTCAACATGAACGAGGTTAATAATTTTCAGATTGGGAAATGAACAGTTTCTCGTAGAACTGTCCAAATGTGAAAGAGGCGCAAAGTCATCACTGTGACTAAGATGTATTAAAAAACTGGGACTTTTTTGTACCGTTAAAAATGTTAATGAAATGTTACCTGAATTAATGACCAGGAGGACCAAAGCAAATTAGAACAAAGCATAAACACCTGAACCAAGTCATACATCGCAACTATCTAAAAAATATTTTAAAATAAGCAAAAGGAAAAATGATTAAAAAATTGTCAATCATCATCTAAAAACTTGCCTCAGAGTTTGTTGGAGGGGAAGAGTTAGCAATCCTGACAAAATAATCTTAACTCTCAAAAAATTATCTATTATTATTATCATTATTAACATTTCACCTACATTCAAAGTATCAACATCATAAAAATAGGTAAAAAATAAAACTATTCAATATTATCATTACTATCTAAAACACTGTCAAATGATAGAATTAAACTGTAAAATTATGTTTGAACCATCAATTATCTAGTATTTTTCACAGACACTTCCAAACTGAAAGCATAATTTCTCGTGACCCTCAATTTAAAGCGTAGATTTTACAATCTGATACCCAAGTTTTACTAGCTAAAAATGTGTCATTTTCCCTTGTGGCTTCTATGAAAAAGTGACTTGCGGATTTCTGCTGCACAGTCAATGAAGAAAATTGTCTGAATTCAACACTTTTCAAGACGGAACACCGAGGGTATCAACCTCATTGTTACTCGGATTAAAGTTATACGGCATACTTCTCTGTAAATGGAGGGTCACTTGAAATTAAAAGATTTGTAAGATTATGTGTGTGCCTGTTGAACTCAGTGAGGTACTCTCTGATCCAGTCTTCCTGGAGTTCTCTGCCAGGAACATCGTTAATAAAATCTAATTCTCCTAAATTATAGAAATGTTCTAATACAGAGCTACCAGAGCAAAGAATGCGACTTCAAAGTATTACTGACCATTCTTTAAAACTTAACTTGTAATCATATATCTTGATATTTGAGCGTCGATCTATTTATTATTGATAGACGGTTAAATATTGTGAAGACGACGTTGCAGGTTGGTGTACAGGACGACAGCAGAGTATGAAATATAAGGGAAAAGAAATTGACCCGGCCCGCCAGTCCATATGGTTAAACATGCTTTGCAGACGGTACTTCATTTAAAAAAGAAATATTTGTCTGATGTACAAAAACCGCGTATACGTCTATTCAGAATAGGTTATTGAATACATTAAACAGCGAAAAAATTGGGTTTTATTTCATATGGCAAAGTAAAAACCAAATTCAAATTCGATTCCATTTCCCTTATATTCCATGCTCCTTGGACGACAGTGAAGTGATCCCAATCCTTGTACTACGCATTTATCTCGCCTCTCTAACCTGACATGACCTCACACATCTCCTGACTACTAACAACAACAACACTGAACTCTCCTTTACCGCTTCTAATCTCAATAAGAAGACGAATCTCCTACTCTCCTTCCCTACTACCCCTCTTTCCTTCTATTTATTCCGTTTCACTGCCACTGCCAGGTAACATCTGTTCATTTGTTCACCCCTTCTTGGAAACCACGAACCAACAGTGGATTTAACCATTTACTATTGGGCTTTAAATTAAAACTGAGGAATAGATTTTGTTTTCTGAAAACTAAACAATATATGCCTATTCGTATTACCTCCACAGCCAACGAATTCTACGAAATGATTTGCAATATCAAATGCAGCAAGCGAGGGGCCAGCGTACTCCATATCAATGAAAACAACCTAATAAACAAACTAAGTTTCGTTTAAGTCAGGTCAGTCAGGTCAGTCAGGTCAGGTCAATTAGGTCAGTCAGATCAGGTCAATTAAGTCAGTCAGATCAGTCAGGTCAATTAGGTCAGTCAGGTCAGCTAGGTCAGTCAGGTCAGTCAGGTCAGTCAGGTCAGTCAGGTCAGTCAGGTCAACTACTGTATTCCCTGGGTTCCTAGCTTTCGTTTGATATGCATAAAGCCATAGTTAAAACATTTTCATTTTTGGAAGTCATTTAGGTCATTAGAGGTCGTTAGAGGTCAGTAGAACGTCAAACACTGGATTCGTTGCTGCAACTGTATTCCTGGGATTCCTCGCTTTCGTTTGATATGCATAAAGCCATAGTTAAAACATTTTCATTTTTGGAGGTCATTTAGGTCATTAGAGGCCGTAAGAGGTCATTAGAAGGTCAAACACTGGATCTGTTGCTGCTACTGGATTCCCTAGGTTCCTAGCTTTCGTTTGATATGCATTAAGCCAAAGTTGAAATATTTTCTATTTGTGGAGGTCATTAGAGGGCATTAGAGGGCATTAGAGGTCATTAGAGGACATTAAAGTTCAATTTGATTTTGTTATAGGAATTTCGAACCCTAATTAGGCGTGCATCCAAAAAAATTGGAAGATTTGAACCAAAAATGAAGGCAGGCCCCTCCCCCCCCTACATCAAATGTGCCAACTCCACCATCCCCTTTTAGATTATGAATTATTAAATCCCGATTCTTTTAAAGTAGATTATAATAATCAACCAATACTTTTTTGGACTTACAGTATAAGAACGCATATTTTCAAAAGGCTAGTTTTTTTCTACACTTACAATTTTAAAAAAAATTGGAAAAAATGGTTTTTTTCTCCATCTAATGTTCTTTAAAACTTATATTTCTTATAAATTGACAGAGCTGAAAACTTTAGAATGGTGGATATCAAGATTAATGCTTTGACTCCTGGTCTTACTAAACTCAAGATTATTTTAAATTTAAACTGCATTCGATATCCAAGAAAGAAGCTGAAAATTTAACCAATCATCATGTCATGCTAAGATGTACTCTTTAACGTTTGAAAAGCCGGTTTTGATTTCTGGTGTCATATCAATTGAACTAAACACCGATTGAACGAACGTAAGTTTTGGATAAATGTTTGTTAAGACTAACGTTCAAAATGACAATAGTCCTAAAATAAGTTTTTTAATAATTTCATATAAACATGATTAAATTTATATTTGTTTAATGCTTTAAAAGCCGGCTTAAGTGAACAGCTGACTTTAATTCAATCGGATATTAGTCCGATCGATATAGCATTGTATCTGTAATTGTTATCAAACGTAACTTTTATACAGTAGAAAATCCCCAAAAAGAGGATTAAGAAGAAAATCAAAAGTGTGTACATTGGATAATCAGATTAAGCGATCGTGATTAAGGATATCTCATTCTTGAGATTTCAGCTCAGATATCCTAAAACCATGAAGATAATAAATATGGATTATCAGAATAGAGTTAGAAAAAACTATTTTTCCTTTAAGCATATTATATTCCGTAAACAATTCTGCTTGAGAAAAGCAATACTTCTCCATTTGTTCCTAAAAAAGTTTAACTTATGAATCTTTTATTTTTGTTATTTAAAAATAAAAATTTCAAAATTACAATTCAACTATTGAACAATCTTAATAGTAATAAGTACAATGTAATTGATAAAAACTTGTCAGTTCACAGATTCACAACAGTACACAATGCATAGAAGGTTTGTCTGTGCATGACTGCATGAGATATCCATTATTGTCTCAATAAAAATAGATTTTTTGTTTTTGTTTTTGGCTTCTCTAAATGGAAGCTCGAGGATTTCAACCTAAGACAATTGAGAATATTAAAAACGTCTACATCTTCTACATTATTGATCATATCAAAGCTTAAAGGGTACCGTTGTGCATAGAGCATGCCCTCTAAAAATAATGGATATTCTAATATTACATCTAGACAATCTCTGTCATTGCGTAAAATATCAATGAATTAAGAAAAACCTGTTTTTCCTTGGAGGCAAGTTGTTGCGGGCAGAGTTCTATAAAGTTTCTGAGCATACTCCATAGCTTACACTCGCCACTCTTAAAAAAAACAAATGCTATGCCAAAAAAAAACTTTGTAGTTTAAAAAGGTTCACCCCTACTACAATGAAGTTCTGTTCAATATTTCATTTAAAATAACAAGTTTGCTGTAGAAATCCTTGGGTTGGAGTTGTTATAAAGACTTAACCTCTATTAAAAAATCAGATGAAATTCATCTACAATCCAAATTACTTCGTCTTTCTAAGGTTACCTGGATCGGAATATGATGAAGTTTAGCGGTCATCCTGGCGACCAGAGGATAAACAGCTGGGTTCTACTCCACAAAGATACATGGGATAGGAAGAATATTGTATATTAAAAGGATTGTTTACTTTTTTAAAAAGTATTCAAAGATGTTCCGTTAAGAAACTTAACGGAATTGCATCATTTAGGGGACTGTAAGCGTAATTTCAAGTGACCCTCCATACAAAGAGATGGCCATTCCCGCCTTACAACAGAACCATAATTCTTAAAGCTTTGTCTCAGTGTTTCGGATCCATATCATTTTGATTCGGATCCGGATCCGCGGATCCGCATCCGTGATAATGGATCCGGATCCGGATCCTGATACGGATCCGGATCAGGATCCGAGGTAACTTTTGATGCTGTGAATCGGATTTTCCCTATTAAATGTTATGCAAGGTTATAATTTATAAACTATAGTGATCCTAAAGTTAAAAATGTCGTCATTACTATTATATAAATGTAAACATTAAATAATTAAAGATAATTTTGAAAAATTTTCGTCATGTAAATAATACATTTATGAACCATTTTGATTTATTTATTCCATGGTTTTGGTTAATTTTTGGCGCTACCCGGATCCATATCAACGTTTCCTGATACGGATCCGAAACACTGCAGTTTGTCTGATCAAATATGAATTAGATATGATGGTTATACTTTAAAAAATTGATTAATTTCAATTGTAGATTCTCTGCAAAAAAAAGACAAATACGCATTTCAGCTCAAAAAAATGGGAATTATCAGAGTGCAGTTTAAACCTTAGTAATACGCCAATTAATTCAATATCATTGATCCGGAGAAGGTTTTAATGGTACTGTTGTAAATTGGGCATTGCCATCTTTGGGTCACTTGATATTACACTTACATTCCTATTAAGTGAAATCCTTAATAAACTATCCCAAGTTTATTCCTTAACAGATTCTTTAGTTAGAGTTGATCCATGTATAAACTCGTACGCAATACCATTATTAAATATTGCGTAAAGCTTACTCCCGGCATTTATTGCGTCAAGTTTACGCATATTTTCCACTTCAGTTTTTCTATCAATTATCTTCTCAGTACCAATGCCGTAAACTCTAAAAAATTAACTTATTTCATGGACGACGGACGTGCATCTCCAAGATTTAATTTTGCGCTTGCCGGTTTGTTTGTACTTAAACAATAAACATATAGGAGTGTTGTTGTAGACGAGTTAAATTACCAGTTTTGTTAATATTCTTAATAAGAAAAATAAATTATACCAGGAAACCCTGTAGCTTTGTTTAACATACAAAGTGTACTGCAGTTTCTGGAAGGAATATAATTATTTAGATCAGCATTAACCAACACTGGGTATGTTTACATTCCTACAGTGGTAGGCGATTATATCATTACAATGAAGACTACTTTCGATTTAAATTTTGATATCAAGCTTTTAAACAGCATTGATACATTTAATCATAAAACAATAAGAAGCTGTCGATTAAAAAATATTCTCTTTGATTGTAAACTTGTAATTCGGAAAAAGCTTGTAAACAATCAAAACTTAAATAAAAAAGACGTCTTCATTGTATTCATTTAATTGCCTACAACTGTACAAAAATTTAAAGTACACTTTTCTTGATGATAAACAAATTGTTTTTTTTTTTTTATTTTCTAAAGTAAACCATTATGTTGTAACAAAACATGACATTTCTTTTATTCTTTCCCATAAAACAATTTTATCTGATCATAAATGAAAAAGCCACAAAAAATGTGATTTTGACGTTAAAAAAAAGTTATAAAAATGACCTGACGAGAACCGTATCTTGCTTGTCTCTAAACCAAGCACCAATCAGTTTATTTGTTATTCCGTCAGTAAATACTTTCCAGTCTATATCATCTCCTACCCAGTCAGGGCTAGACAATACTTTCTTTATATTTGGTCAAGTACTTGGGATCCACTTAATTTTCATTCTGGATCCCCCCCCCCCCAAAAACATAAAAATGGATCCAGGTCATTTCTTAAGATTCATTTTGTGTTTGACATAAAAACAGCATTTTCTACTATCTTGTCTTTTTTCGCTTTTTTATATTTTAAAACTTTACAACACCGTTAAGAAATACAGATATTTTTAATATCCTCTTTTTGAACAGTTTCAGATTTTGGTGTGAGAGTAAAACGATTTTTTTTACAGTTTCATGTTGATATTTTGCCCGTTAGATCCGAATCCGTGAATACACATATTTTAGGCTTCTTTTGTACGATTTTAACGACATTTCGCATATTTTCCATTTCTTTATTGATTTTCCTCAACAGCAAAAATATCATAATATTTATGATTCCGACCGGTTATAAAAATTCCATTGGCATTTTTGTCTCTAGTTAAGTTGATCAAAACCAGAAAAAACCTTCAGGACTTAGTAATTATTTTGCGGTTGTTAGCAAAGACTAAATTAAAAAATATAAATTGTATTACCGTATCCTTTGGAGAACGAGTCGAGCACCCTTTTTCAGAGATTCGTCAGTATTTAGGTCAACGGTTACGTCTATTGTTAAAGGATCCGCCATTTTTAATCTGAAAAAAAATAAATACCAAAATTTTAATTCAAGTTAATCAGGAAAAAGTTTAATCACAGATTTTGAAGATATGAAAAATTGGCTTAATATTTACATATTTCTATTTTACCTCTTACCTTAAATGTTAATGAGAAAAAGAAAATGGAAATATAATAAGGTGTACTTTATAAAAATTGTACATGTGAACGTGATGTAAATTGTATATAATGATATTAGAAACATATAAAAGAGTTCTAAAGAGCTATGAACATTGTAGAGCAATTTTCAATCTTCTCACTTACTCTTTTTGTAGTCCTAGACATGTACAAAACATTTGAAAACTTCATAGAAAGTGAAATACAAAAATTTACAAAATTAGGATTTTTACATTAAAGGATGCACAATGCAAATATTGATTCCTTGTGATGTACACTGTACACAGTAAATTGTACAGTGTACAACCTTCTCTAATTATATCTGAGTTTAATGCAGTACAATAGTAGAATGGTTGCAAAGCCTATGTACATGTAGTACACGGTAGTTTCCTCCGGCATCATACATTTAGATACAGATTTAGAGCCAGCAGAAAACCTAAAATACAGAACAAATGGGTTTAAGCAATGCTTGGGATCAGGATCTAGACTTTGAGCCTATAAAGTATAAACCTACTTATTGTTAAGCCAAAATTGTTTAAAAATAACTTCTTTTTTTGGTTACAAAAAAAACGCAAAAAAAAAATATTGTAAAAATAGTTGAATAAAATAACAGCAATATTATAATTTCTTGGTGCAAATATTTCAATTGTGTATGATCAATTTTCTAATTGAAAATAAAGGATCAGGACCCATAAATTATATTGAAATGGATTCTGGGCATAAGCAAAAGCAGAAAGTCCAAATAAAAATTATAGCTATTTTTTTTCGCAAAAACAAAACTGTGTTGTTGTAAAATACAGTGAAACCAATAAAACAGCATTGTTGTATGATACATATTTTACTTAGTTTACCAATAAAACAAACATTTTCGAGGACTTTGAGAGAAATAATTTTAGTATATTTTGACACAAATCTGTAACTAAGAAAAATATTATCAAACGTTTTCTCAAAAGTTTTTTTGATTAAAAGACAAAGAAATCTATTATTTTTAGAGAATTTAGAAAAGCTAAAATAATGAAAGGTATGTTCCTACCTTGCGAGTAAGAAAGCTGGATTTTGTTTGTTTCTCCAGCTAAAGGATGAAACAGTCCATTCAATAAAACTATCATGATCTGTCCTACAGCCATGGTGTGTGTGACCTAAACCCAGTGAAATTTTAACTATCCATGTTCAAAAAATATAAAATAAAATTAAAACAAGTCAAATTATTTGCTCATTAGCCAAACCAAGGTATATTTGTAGCTCCTAATTGGTTGGGCTTTTATTTATAAATTTGCTAAAGGAATCTTAATACGCTCTTTTACAAAAGATAAGGATTAGTGTTTTCTAAACAGATTTATTATACAAAAGTTTTGACCTTAACTTTTTTGTCGAGAGCAACAGAGTTTTATAGACAAAATAGGTCGAGGAAACCCGTGGTTCAATAACATTTTTAATTTCCATAAAAAGTAGTTTTACACAGTTTGAGTCATCTATTGAAATGAAAATGCGCGAAATGTTTCCCGAAAACTTTATTATTATTTATTTATTTATTTATTGGTACTTTTTAACTGTTCTATTTTTCTTCAATTCACTCTGTTATTCATTTTCTTTTATCCTATCCCAACAGACGTCATGTAATTAAACCTCCCTCTGTTGGGGGTATCATAGGTCGTCAATGTTGGTCAAAGGTAGTATAAATTCTAAAATAACCTGTGAAAGCTATTCTAGGCTTAAGTTTCTGTTTAATAAGATTAGAAGATGAATTACTGATGCACTCCCATCTTTCTCTGAACTTCTCCATCTTGTCAATTCCTGGTGCTGAGTCTAACTCATCACATAGTTCATCCGACTCTCTGTAGTAGAATATAATTTGATTTGTCAACATTCAATTTAAAGCATCAGATGTTTGGTTCTAAGATATTTTTACTATACGTCACTTATGCTGCCTTTTGTGCTACATGTCATTTTTGCATTAAGTCACTTTAATTTGTATGATTTTTCTTATTGTCATTTTTGCTAAATGACATTTTTGCTATATGCCATTTTTGATTTATGTCATTTTTTATATATGTTGTTTTCGCTATAGATCATTTTGGTACATAAATAGTTTGTTCTAAATGTAATTTTTTTGCTAAATATTATTTTTTACTTTCGTCATTTTTGCTATTATGCTATACGTCATTTCTGGCAGTACCTGTACAACGGGAAATGAGACATGAGAACTGGTCCAGGACACTCATCTTCTGTACAACTCAGATTCGAACTAATCTAATCAAATCAAATCAAATCATGGGTGGCCGGGGGGAGTCTTAGGTTAAAAAAAGTTAGAAATTTTTTTTCAAATTTTTTTTTCAACATTTTTTTTCAAAATGTTTTTTCACGTGCAACGCCGGGACCTTCAGCTAGTATTTATTCTAATGAGAGTTGGGGCGGGTCTTAATATCGATAACATTGGAATTAAGGACGACTTCAATATCGTCTTTGTTTAAAAATCAACAACACTATTCTAGTGTTTAATATCTCCGTCAATTTTAGAAATACGAAGAAGGTAGACCACATTTAGGAAAGCTTATTGGAAGTTCAATCTTTTTTGATGCACTTTATGACATTTATCAATCATAGGAAATCAAAGACGATATTCAAGTGTCTCTCAATTCCCATGTTTGTGGGGACACCCTGTATATGAACAATGAGACCCATAAAACTGAGGAATCGGAAGACGACAATTAAGCAATTTTATGTTCATTTGAAAATTAAATTATCAAGTCAAGTGTAATTTGTTTATTGCTGTGTTCCATTTATATTAAACTATTTCAAACCATAACTTCACACTAGTTTTCGTCAATTTTTATTCCACAGTTTTATGGGTCTCGCTGTATGTATAGTATATGTTAACTGAACCTACTTTTTCAAGGAGTTTTTCAGCATCTTTGCACAGGAAGCAACCATCATTTTCAAATGCCATGCTGTTAATCAGAACAAAATCAACTCCTTTCAATTTTATCTGTTGGACACTTCGCGTCTTGAACGCATCTTTAAACCGTTTATCCAGGTAAGGAGTTATACTGTAGTGAAAGCCTGATTACAAAAATATTTCTGAAAATCTGATTGATCTGATAACAAACATTTACTTTTTGTGAATTTCATCTTAAATTTTGATAAAAATTAAACGTGAGATGAACAAGTGCTTTAGATATAAATCTGAAAACATGAGGGTAATCTTTTTATCAGTGGACTTTCGATTTCAATTTTGATTTCAAGAGAAACTATTTTCTTTTAAATCTTTTTGGTTACTTGTTAACTTGTCGCCTTCCACTGTACGTAAAAATCAATTAATGAAAATGTTCCAAAATATTTTCTGTTCCTATATCATGGTTGCCAGCGACAACATATACTTTTGTATCAGCCCCAGTATAAAACAAATCATCAAACCTAAAAAATTATTAATATTTTAAATTTCTTTTTTAAAATTTCATCTTTTTATTTTTAGTGAACTATCTTAAGAAAACTTAAGAAAAAAAATAAAATTTTGTTTAAAAATATTTTTTTTTAGTCTATGAGCGAAGAGCTTATTATATAGAGATAATGAAGGTGGATGCCTACCTCTGTCGATATTTTTTGAATTCTTCCGGTGGACACCATTTTCCTTCGTCAAATATATCTCCCAAGAAAAAAACAGCTTCCGGTCTAAAATATTAGCGATCACACAAAATTAATTCAAACGACATATTTTATGATTTTTAAGTGACTCTCCTTTTACAAAGTGACATTTCCGATTTACAATTGTAACCTTTAAAGTTTTTCTGCAAATAGTTTGTAGAAATGTGTTCCTGCAAAGGACTGGCATGTAATTCAAAGAAAATCATGAAAAAATACAATTAATCTATTTTTTCCTTTTTTTAAAAATCACCGTAAGTATTCTCAGTTCCCCTTTACAATATTTGTTGTTATTCGTCTAGGAGGGTAAGTTCTACTGAACCCTGGATGTATGCAAATTCTAATAAAAAAGAATTCTTTATTTACCTGAAATACGACATTGCCGTCTGGAATGTTCTATGCATCTGCCATTCCCTTCGGAGCTTATCAAACCAGTGTCCATTCCGAGAACCTGGATATTAAAAGATAATAAAGATTTTAAGTGACTTATAATAATAATAATAATAATCACTGTCAATCCTACAATCTTAGAATTAAGGCTTATGCTTGCTTCCGTTTATGAATTAACCCAATTAAGAGCAGAGTGTAAATTCAGGGGTGGGAGACAAGCCTATGGCGGTCTGCCAACCGACCATTATATACACCCTCAGATACCTAATAATCCTGTCGGTACCATTAGTATGTTGAGATGTTCAAGATGGGGTTTTAATATTGAAAGAAGACACAGAATATTGAGTTGATTTCATTCATTACCTTTAATTATTCCTAAAATCAAATCAAATCATATTTTGCAGGGATGACTTGAGGCTTTCTTTTTTTGGGTCAGAGTTTTAATTATTCCCCGATTTCCGGTTTTTCACCACGATCTCTGATTTAAAATTTGATTTGAATTTACGTAAAGAATTGGTATTTTGGGTTAAATTAGTTGAGTTCTATTTAAAGAGATTTCAGTCACGCGTTATTTAAATGTTTAAGCGACCCTCCATTTATAGACGGGCATGTTGGATTCACAAGGGTTTCCATTAAAGTTTCGTCTGAAAAAAAAAGAAAAAAATGATGGAGTTTTCCCTGTTTTTTCTTCTCAATATTGATTATTTTCGATTGCGGTTCTCTATACAATATGAATACAATGATATCGTCAGCACAGTTAATCCGATAAAGGACTAAAGGGAACCGGCGTGAATCGTGCATGTAAATTTTGGAAATGAGAATTATTTAAAAGTAAATCTACTGAGTTACAACTTAACGAATTTGGATCGCGTCTCAAATCCACCAAAATCTGGTTTCAATTGAGCGCCGGCTTAAATATTGAAACATTGAATACAATTTTAAGTTGAACCAACCTTGTTTAAGCCACAGCTCAAATTCATTTAATTCGGCCTCTGGTCCTTTTAAAGAGAAAGTTAACGATCCGTATAATGTGGAAATAGTAAAATTTCGAAAATGATATTTTTGAAGATACATTTTTCTAGTAAAATTTAGTTTCAGCGGTTAATATCTGAATACGGATACTTATAGAAAAAACTAAATTAAGCATCAGAAAAGTAAGAACCGACATTGACAATTTGAGGAAGTCTTTCTGGACTATCCTTTCAAATCATGTGAACCATTATTTAATACCCAAGAATTAATTTATTCTTACCAAGTAGATGTGTATCTGCAAGGATTAGCGCATTTAGGGTTTCTTCTTTTTCACCAGCTTTCCTAGAAAAAAAGAACTTGTGAAGTTCAAACCTAAACTATCATTTAAAAATATAAAGTATTTATAAACTAAGTAATAAGACAATTTTTTTAATATTTGTAACTTTTGTAAAGTTATTTTACTTAAAACAAGAGAGTTCCCGAAATATTTTATAATCCATTAATTATAACTTAGTAAAATATGCAACTAAACGTGTTGCCCTTTGTATCCTAATTTGAAACAAAATGAGCGGAAAATTACCACAGCTTTTCTTTAGCAGGCATTATTATTACTCTCGAACAGATGTGTGTACTGTTCTAAAATACTATTTAAAGCATTTGTAGGACTACTTACATATCTGGCATACACTTAAATTAAAAATTAAACACGATATGATCCATGAAGGTTACCACCGGAATCTGGGATCGCCAAGCATGAGATAATTTCTAAAATGCAACGGGCAACGCCAAGCACGTAAACTATAGTATGAATTTTTGTAATCAGTCTCATCTATATATAAATTTGGCTTGTCTGTCTTTTTGTTTGTATCAAATAAACGTCAAAACGGCAGAAACGATCGGGCCCAATTTTTTTGTGGGACGTCACGTGACCACAGGGAAGGTTTATGAATGATAAAAAATTTTTAAAAATGTGTTTAAAAGGTTTTTAATTTTGTAAAAAAAAATTTAAATTCTTGAAAATCCGCGAATTTTTTTTTTTAATTCGCCAAATTTTTTTCTTCTTTGTTTTAAAATGTAAACAAAAAGAACATGTTTACAATTTAAATAGAAGATGGGCGCGAAGCGCCCTAAAAGCCTAGTTGATCTGAAATTGTTTAAATATTCATGTTATATCTGGACACTTGTCAAACACAGTATTCTGCTCTACATTAGATGAATAAAGCCACTTTAAAAAAGACAACAAAGTGGTGTCTTGTCCGTAACTATCGGGGTAATTTTGGGGTCGAATTTCTTTTTGAACCTTTTTTATTTCTCCAGATCTGCAGCCCTCCTTTTTTACCATTTTTTATAACTTTGCCCCAAAGTGAAGAATTTTGGGGGGGTTTCTAGGATTTTAATGAGACCCTTTACCAGTTACCAGGTCCATTTTAAAATAAAGTGTCCAAATTCTTAGCAGTTATTAAATGTCCCAATCTATTGATAAACGGATCCAATTTTCGCGGATTTCTGATGATTTGATGGCAGATATTTACTTTGCTACATTTCTTTCAAATAATACTGTAGATACAAAACCTGTTCACCTACAAAAGACGGTTAAAAAAAACTAATTACCCAGGATAACTGCAGGAATAGAGAGTAACATAGTAGATGAAGAACTCATTGTAAAACAATGAAAGAGCTGTAAGAACAAGAAAACCTAAAAAAGTAAAGTTAAGTTCCCTAAAAACTGATTTATTTTTCCCATTGGCATTTTAGGCCCGAATTAGCGTAGATGTACACACACACTATTCCAGGTTAGTTTAGGTTAAGATAGATAGATAATATCACTGAGGTTTCAGGAGGGGGACATGCATTACTTTAAGAAAAATAAGCAACATTGATTTATCGCTTTGAATTGAAGTTTTTCAATAAAAAAGCTTTACTATACTTTCGATAATAAAATTAATAAACTTTAGAAGAAATGTGCATGTAATCTTTCACAGAAAATCTAGCAAAATCTTGTAAATGCGCGAAAAGATGTAAAAGTTCACTTGGTAAAATGCACAGTGAACACCCTCAACAGTTCACACGCTAGAAAAATGAACTGACAGAATTTGAATAATAGCAGAATATTGCAAAACGGGTTTTCAATTATTCTATTAGAAAATATATTATGTATTAGCCGATATAAAGGGACTGGTAACAAAATAAAATAAACTCAAATTTAGGTTTTGTTCGTCCTTATGAAAAAAGGCAAAAGAATAACAATAAGGACTTTTTTCATTATTAATTTTTCATACTTTTATGTTATTGTTTTAATTACTCTATTAATTATCTATTTGTGTCAGATGATTACAAAATCTGATAATATTGTTTATGATTTTTGTTGTTTTCAATTGAATATATTATACCGATAAATTGTAAACCATAGAGAATTGAAAACGTCTGATCCCATACTGATATAACAAAAAATCATTGATTTTGTAATTTCACTTAAATGTTCCTTATATGTTATGTTTTTAACGAAAATTACAACAATATCTGAGATATATTTCTAAGAGGATTTGTTTTTTATAAGGCCAATATAAATATATTGTCAACGTAGTTTAAAGTAAGAAAAATAGGGATTATATTTCATAATTCTAAATTGCATTTTTTTGTATAAAGTGATGGAAATATACATTAATTGCAAAGGGTACTATTATGAATCGAACACGCAATTGGGCCGGGTGGTCACTTGAAATAGCGTTGACAATCCCTTTATACTGACATTGTTTGAAGGGACTATGAGCGTAATTTCAAGTGACCCTCAATGCAAAGATGGTAATGTCCGATTTACAACGGTACCCTTGAAAGCTTTAATTGATCAAGTATGAATTTGATATCCACATTTTTGTTTATTTTAACTATTTATTTTCATTTGTGGTTTCTCTGAAAAAAGACTACCGCATTTCTTACTTATAAGAAACAAGCGAGAAATTCACAAAAATAAACACTTTTCAAGTCAGTAAACGACATTATCTTCCCCATTTTAGATCAGATTAAGGTTTCACTTGTATGCAGGTTCACTTGAAATTACAATTACAGTCCCTTTAAGATTGGATTAAAAATTCGGCTTAAGTTTCCCTGATTTTGTTTACTTTTAGAGTATACTTCAATGCACAAGAAATCTTTCAAGTTTCTTGATATAAAAAATATTTTCTTGAACTCGACTTAAAGGGACTGGAAGCGTAATTTCAAGTGACCCTTCATACAAAGAGGGGAATGCCCGATTTACCACAGTACCATTTAAACTTTGACTCTACAACGAGGGAAGAGAACTCCGTGTGTTTATCTCTGAACAAATTTTCAAATTGCAGTAAAACTGGAGTATACGCTAGCATTCAGTGTTAACTCAACGCAGCTGAATTTTGACTAACTATTTCGCGTCCAACGCGGTTTTCAAGAATTCAATGTAAATATTAATTTTCTATGACTTTAGAGCTAATTCAGAACTGGCACGGACAAGGGGAATCCGACTGTTTAATTAAAACAAAGCATTGCGATGGTCAGAGAGTGATGTTGATAATCTTTTATCTGTATTGTTATGAATCGGACACGCTCCTCTGCAAATGGAGGGTGACTTGAAATTACACTGGCCTTCAGTGCTTTAGAAGAAAACCTACCTTTTAGTAACTGCTTTGGACTCCGCATAGTTAACATTGTATTAAAACTCTTTCACTTTGAAGTTTTTGGATTTTATGAAAACTCTATTCTTCAGGATTAATAAAGTCCTGTAGAGTACAGTCTATAGCTTGAACAAGTGTCCTTGTATCCTGGGATACCCGGAGTAGGAATGTGGTTTCCTGGAACACTTCACTCCTAGACACCTCCTGGAAACCCAGGCTCTTAAACAGATTCTCACTGGCTAGGTTTCCAAACTTAATTTTAGCGCTCAATTCTTCCAGATTCAAATATTCAATGCCATATCTAGAAAACGAAAAAAAAAATTTTTGGAACAAAAAAATCTTTGAATGAGAAAATGGTTTTTTAAAAATTATATGATAAAAATACCTCAACATCAGTGTGATTGCTTGACGTCCAAATCCTTTACCCCTCGAACCCTCATCAGCAATCATTATCTCGGCCTTAACATTTAAATCTCTATATTGTAATATGTAAACAGGAGCTGTCAATTGATGGAGGGAAAATATTCTTAGTTCTTTAAATATTAGTGAGTAAAAAATCAAATCGGAGCATGTTAAATGTACTGAAATATTTAGTCTTTTTTATTGTCTAGCGATGGAAAAGGTTTACTTCTGCACACCCAATATCTTGAAATAGGAATAGGTTTAAAGGTTTACCTCTGAACACCCAACATCTTGGGATAGGAATTGGTTTGATGGTTTACCTCTTTAATACCCAATATCTTGGAATAGGAATAGGTTTAAAGGTTTACCTCTGAACACCCAATATCTTGGGATAGGAAAAGGTTTAAAGGTTTACCTCTGCACACCCAACATCTTGGGATAGGAATAGGTTTGTATCTCCGATCATACAATCCTCTTCGCTCAAACCAGACTCCAGCTTACACTATGATAAATCATCGTGAATGAAAAAAATATTTAAATTATTGAAGAAACTTTTATTAATAATAGTTCAAAAACAATTTGTCTGAAAAAATACAGATTTACAGAAAAAAGAGACTGTAATGACGACCTTAAACTCTTAAAATTTGACGATCTGCAGCTAAATGATTTACTGAATGTTTTAATACTGAAATAATAAATATGTTTTTAATATTAAAATCACATTATATGTTTCAATATAAAATCACAATATATGTTTTGATACTAAATCATGATTATTTATGTCAAATTATTTTATTAGAGCCATTCCGAAACTTTTTTAAAACCACACATTTTGTATTAATCTAAACTCTTGAATTTGAAATATATCTTGAAATCAAAAATGTATGTCCAAATTTTTGAAGTGACTTGACATATCCTAATGGTAAGTTTTAGGACGGCAGGATAGTCCCTCATTTCATTTAAATTTTTCAAATGCTGAAAATTCACCAATAAAAAACAAAAAATCCGCGAATTATAATTAATAAAGGGAAAGGTAGCATATACAGTATACACTATATGTAGATCAGATAAAATTATGGAATAGAATTCTGTCCCTGATTGAGAATGTTACTGACCTTGTCTAGAATAATGAAAGTACATTTATCCTTGTCTTCCTTCCAAGAGGTTTGCATCTCATATTCATCTTCCAAGGATAAAGGTTCAGAACCTGTCAGCTCCTGGTAAATTAGGATGAGAATGAGAAGAGAAACAAGTAAATTAGGATGAGAATGAGAAGAGAAACAAGTAAATTAGGATGAGAATGAGAGGAGAAACAAGTAAGTTAGGATGAGAATGTAAGGAGAAACAAGTAAATTAGGATGAGAATGTGAGGAGAAACAAGTAAATTAGGATGAGAATGAGAGGAGGAACAAGTAAATTAGGATGAGAATGAGAAGAGAAACAAGTAAATTAGGAAGAGAAGGAGAGGAGAAACAAGTAAAACAAGTAAATTAGGATGAGAATCAGGAGAAACAAGTAAATTAGGATGAGAATGAGAGGAGAAACAGGTAAATTAGGATGAGAATAAGAGAAGAAACAGGTAAATTAGGATGAGAATGAAAGGAGAAAAAAGTAAATTAGGATGAGAATAAGAGAAGAATCAAGTAAATTAGGATGAGAATAAGAGGAGAAACAGGTAAATTAGGATGAGAATGAGAGGAGAAACAAGTAAATTAGGATGAGAATGAGAAGAGAAACAAGTAAATTAGGATGAGAATGAGAAAAGAAAAAGGCAAATTAGAATGAGAATGAGAGGAGAAACAAGTAAATTAGGACGAGAATGAGAAGAGAAACAGGTAAATTAGGATGAGAATGAGAGTAGATACAAGTAAATTAGGATGAGAATGAGAAGAGAAACAAAAAAATTAGGATGAGAATGAGAGGAGAAACAAGTAAATTAGGATGAGGATAAGAAAAGAAAAAGGTAAATTAGGATGAGAATGAGAGGAGAAACAAGTAAATTAGGATGAGAAAAAGAAAAGAAAAAGGTAAATTAGAATGAGAATGAGAGGAGGAACAAGTAAATTAGGATGAGAATGTGATGAGGAACAAGTAAATTAGGATGAGCATGCGAGGAGGAACGAGTAAATTAGGATGAGAATGTGAGGAGGAACAAGTAAATTAGGATGAGAATGAAAGGAAATATTAAATTAAATCAATTATTTATCATGAAAAGATCCCCTATGTGGAATCCCCCGATCGCCATATTGATATGATAGCTAAAGCTGGCCAAACGGCTGGACCGAATTCGCTGAAATGTTTTAAGGGGACACATGGGTAGCCTAGGGGAAACAAAGGGAAAAAATAATACTATTTTTTTACGAAAAAAAAGTTAATTTTCTTTTTTTCTAACTCGATTTTTTGAAAATATCTACGGGCGACGCCGGGCACATCAGCAAGCATTTGATATTTATTTATGTGTGTGAATAAATCTTTACCTGAAGTTCTTCAGATTTCATCCATTGATGGTATTTAAGAACATGCGATCTTTGATAAGGAACAAGAACTAGGCTTCGTCCAACTATCTTAAAAACATAGTTAACAAGTTAAAGGGTCTGTTCCCATTTATCCATTTAAATTTAATAAGGGGCAGAGGTGTATATTTTTCAGAATAACGCCCCCCCCCCCATTGGCCCAGGGGGAAATGATTTATGATGAATTAAGTAAGAAGAATAAAAATATGACATAAAAAGGCATTTTTTATATAAAAAAAATATTTTCTAAGAAGAGGGGGGCAATTAGTTTTTTTAGGAAAGAATACACCCCTGAAAAAGCGATTATGACTTTTTCAACTTTGTTCAAAAGATACCAATTGTATTGAATTTATTTTTCATAAAATGGGTAAAAAACTATAATCATTTCAAAGTTATCACCGTGGGTTATAAATAGCATTTTTTCAAAATCAAACCAAATATTCAGCGAATTAAGAAATATTTTGAATAATACCTTTGTATTCCAGTTTAATCTCATCACAAAAATATCATTTCATTTCTGAAAAAAAAAAATTTAATTATAAAGAAAATAAATCTTTAAATCTGCAATCAAAACAAAAAATGTTCATTAGTATTAACAAACAAAAAAGTTTCCAATATATGAATGTATAAATTTTCAAACATTTACAAATATGTGAATGATAATTTTATAAAAGTATAAATGTTCAATTTAAACTATAAAGCTCAATAAGATGTATTTTTAACTAAACCAAATCCTTTCTTTTCTTAGGATTTTTAAGGACGAGTTAAGTATTAAAAAAATATCTCAGGAGTTAAAAACAATACTTTCTTAAAAAATATATGAACACCAAACAGAGGCGTATTCAGCCCCCCGATAATAAACCATGCACTACCATTTCATATTTGCATTTGGTGGATTCCTTCGTTCAAAGTATCAAAAATCCAAGAAATTTTCTAAACAATCGCGAGTTTTTGAATTAACACTGGAATTTTTGACAATACACCTTTGATCAGTAAATAGGATTAGTTATGAATAATTCATAAATTATGATTATAGATAAAAAAATGCGAGAAAGTTTAAAAACCCCTTAAAATAAATCAGGGTTTAAACAAACATATATCACATACTTCAAACAGAGTTAGCCTAATTATGAATATTGCCTAACAATGTGTATAAAACCTTAATTTTCAAAGTAGATTAACATTAAGTAAGGAAAATACTGTGTTTACTACTAGTACAGAGTAGATACATAGTAGAAAAACAATAGGAGTAAAATAAAAATAGTTGTTCAGAAAATCATGAGGGAGAAAAGTTGTCATCGTCATGGGGGGCAGGACTGGGAGAAGGGCTCCCAACAGGAGAGGGGCTATAATCAGGTGAAAAAGATTTGTTATCAGGAGAGTAAGGAAAATATTCAGCGGAACCAGTGCGTAGTGATGAAACTTGTAATTTGAAAGCAGGGTTCTTAGTACTGATATTGCATCCTTTTTCATCAGACAAAACCTTCTTTGTTCCAGACTTATTTTTTTCCCCAGAGGAGGGTTTGGATAATCCAGACTGAGAGTCATCCGAGTCTTCAGTAGGTTGGGTTGCAGTGGTTGTATAGCGGCCTTTTTCCTCCGACCAGGCCTTCTTTTTTCCAGACTTCTTCTTTTTCCCAGACTTCTTCTTTTTTCCAGACTTCTTCTTTTTACAAGAGGAGAGTTTGGGTGAACCAGACAGAGAGTCATCCGAGTCTTCAGTAGGTTGGGTTCCAGTGGTTGTATAATGGCTTTTATCATCCGACAATACCTTTTTTGATCCAGACTTCCTCTTTTTACTAGAGGAGAGTTTGGATGATTTTCGAAGCTTGTGTGCACCGTGAGAACCTGAAAGGTAATCGTCAGAGTCTTCGATAAGTTGGGTTGCAGTGTTGGTGCAGTATCCTTTATCTGCTCCAGACTTCTTCTGATAACCACTAGGACCAGGTTGAGGTGATCCTTCAGGGGAGCATGTTCTATATCCTGGAGCAGAAGGGCTTGGTGGAGAACCAGTTGGAACTGAAAAACCACTTGTAGACCTGAAATTTAATTATTTCATTAAAATATTAAACACTAGAGTAGATATACGAAAGGTTTTTAACTAAGAAACATCATTAATGTTGAAATTTGATGAGGTAAAAAAGGACCGATAATATTTTAATTAGTTTATAGTTATTAGTTATTAATATTATACCAAACTCATAATAAATTACTCACTTGCGTCTTTTCCGTCGGTTCTTACGGGTAGATGTAGAGCTAGATGTAGAAATTGAATGTGAGGTTGACCTTTGATGCTTTCGGGATTTCTTCCGATCAGAAGATGGACGTTCACAACTAGATTTAGAATTGGAGCGTGATCTAGACTTCTGGTCCTCATTGGATTTATAACGATCAGTAGCTGGACGTTCATTCCTGAATTTGAAACGGTCATATCTAGATCTTCCTTCAGATCCCAGGCTGTCTTTGGAGCTATCATCAAACCCCTGAGTTAACATTTCACGCTCTCTTGAACTTGAAATATCTCTCGTGACTGACATATCTCTTTTTACAGAACAATTTTTAGACACAGAATCGTCTCTGAATGAAGAATCATTTCTGGTGGCAGAATGATCTCTGGTGGCAGAATGATCTCTGGCGGCAGAATGAACTCTAACTGCGGAATGTTCACTCGTGTCGGAATCAACTGCGTTGAAACGACCATCTCTTGCAACATCATTATTTCTGCTGGCAGAACCATCTGAACTTGCAATAGATTCTGGAACCCTAACAGAGAATAAATGTTAAATTCTGAATTCAGCTTTTTCAAAGACATCTTTAACACAAAGCAAAAGCCAAAATCTTTTGATACAGTTTTGATACCAACTACAAATGCTAAAAAAGAAAAAAAATTATAATTATATCAAACTTATTTTGAACTTATCTCCCAAAAAATGCAGATTCAATTCTTGGTTCACATGATTATAATTGAAGTTTATAATTACTTTGGGGCAACACTGCATGAAGTTTAGGATAATTAACGCATCGAGTCCGTAACTCATAAACACATGATATTTTTTATAACATTTGGTTGGTGTGTGCCAACTTTTTTGAATCCATGACATTGACTACCACGCTTGGGTTAAGAACATAAAATTAAATTATTACCCATATGTAAGTCCTGGGTTAGGATCGAAAGGATGAGGATGATAGTAATTAAAATAACAGCCTTCGCCATCATCATAATAATCATAATCACTGCTATCGCTTCCCCCTTGATCATTGTATCGTGTTCGACCTCCAGGATCTGAATATGAAAAAATATAATTCTAGCTTCTTCAGCGATGAAATTATTAAAAATGTTCAAAATCTCGTTAAGATCAGCCCTAAACTTAACTTAACTTAACCCTAAAGATGCTGCATTATAAATTTATCTGACTATTGTGTACGCTCTGTACAGCTGTATCTGACGTCATTGGTTAAAACATTAAAACCGCGGTATTTAACATTTTCAAACGTAGTCAAAAATGCTCAAGTGCTACAGAGTGGCATTTTAGGCAGCGAAAGGGACTAAACACCAAATATATCCAATATAAAACGTTAAAAATTTTAAGTTAATGTCGTCTTTTGTTTCATCATAAGCAAGAAATAATTTCGCATTTTTGCTTTTGTAACCCATTTGTGTGGATTTGGGTTAAAAAGCATGAATCATTTAATGAAATAGAACTTCCAAGCAAGCAGAAAATGCCTTTATTCATTAGAGAAGACGCGCGACACGTGTGTTCCAATCATTAATAGATAGACCAAACAATTGCGTAGAATTTGCGTGGATTTTCCGATGAGTATCTTTATAAAGAGAGTCTTTGCTTAACCCTATCACGATTGGTGGGAGGGGGGGGGGGGGGTTCTTCATAAAATTCTTTAGCTGGTTTCTCCAGGAAACTATAAAATGTAAGATAAAGGAATGAACTGTTTCAGTGTGGCGAATGTGTGAATTATCAAAAACCATGTGGCTTAAATCCATATGTTACAACACGTAGTTACTTAACGGGAATGATTTTTTAAGTTGATCCACTGAAGTACTGACAAGAATAAGGACGCAAAAAAGATGTATGACATACATATTACATTCACATACAATGCATCTGTATATCCATATAAAAAAACAAGACATTCGTATTTATATGTTGCGTATAGCCGGCCAAACGGCTGGGCCGAATGGGCTGGCATTTTTTTGTGGACACTCATGGGTTGCCTGGGGGTAACATAGACTAAAAAATTAGAATTTTTCTTTCTTCAAAGTTTTTTCCAAGGACAAAGCCGGGCCCTTCAGCTAGTAGAATATACAAGTCAAAAATTAATTTCCATTGGTATTGGAAATTCTGTAATATATAACCCTTTAAAAGAACTCGAAATCTTACATTTTTGTATATATCTCTCAAAATCTCCAGGGGATCCATTTCGTTGGTCATAGCCCATGTTAGAACGATTATAACGTTTTTCTCTTGGCGGTCTGTAGCGGGGAGGAAGATGCAGAGGAGAGTATTGAGGATGAGAAGGAGAGTTATGAAGAGAGTATTCACCGAGGTATTGAGGAGAAGGAGGAGAGTAACGGCCTTGAAGAGAAGAAGGAGAGTAACGGCTTTGAAGAGAAGGAGGAGAGTATCGGCCTTGAAGGGAAGGAGGAGAGTAACGGCCAATAAGAGAGGCGCCAGGATAATGGTAACGACCAGGAGGAGATCGACGATCAGGGGAGTATCCACGATTTTGATAACTAAAAAATTCCACACAAAAAAAATAAGATTTTTTAAAAATTATAATGAAGTTTTCTTACTATGTATTCGGACTTTGCCATCTATAGTCTTCATCATCACTGTAAGCACTCTGCGTCATTGAGGAGATTACATTTTACATTTAAAATTATTGAAATTAAGACTTTAAAAGGACTGCTAGTGTAATTTCAAGGGATTCTCCATTTATAGAATGGTACGTCTGCCTGACAAAGGCGCAGTGCCCTTAAAACCATTGTCTGTTTAAGAAATCAGTAAAAGCTTTCATTTTTCAATTGGCGTTTCTCTGTAAACAAGTTAAGTATTTCTGCTTTTAAAAAATATAGAAATTTTCAGAAATAAGCACTTTAAGCTAGAAAAACGAGGATGTCTTTCACAATTTTATTCAGATTAGGGTTTCGAGGATAGAATCAAGAATTCCCTCTTTTCATTGAGGTTTACTTGAAATTGCGCTAACAGCCCATTAAACGATCATTAAACTAAAAGTTAGGATGAACTTCATTAATAAATGAATTTATTGTTTCCCATTTTTCTTTTATCCAATGTTTTATAAGTCTCCGAAAAGTCTAAGATATTAAATTATGAAGGGCGGTTTTTGTCCAGTTCTCTTTTTCAAAGAACACCCCAAATCCCCATTTTAGAATTCCAAAAATTAAATAGAGATTCCTCATATTCCTGTTCATAAGAATCATCATCTTCGTGTTGTTCAACTTCAACATGGATTACATCTTCATAAGATCCAGCTCTAAAATACAAAGGGGGTCAAATTTTCTTTAACAAACTGGAGGCTCATATTTTTAAACGCCGTTTTAACATTTGTAACCTTAATAGTTAAGGTTAAAAGAAAATATAAAAAAGTAGAAAAAAAATAAGTTTGTTTGATGTTTTCTTATTTCATGAATATTAAGTTTCCAAATTTACTTTTAACTGTATCAGAATAACACAAACAAGTAAGTCATTCCTCAATCAACTTATTTTTTATGAAAGCAACCATTTAATTTTATTTTTTATATCCATGACAGTGTCTTTAATCTTACCAATCATTGTTTACAGAAACCGAACAGTCAATCTGAAGCCGGGAAATTTTGCGCGCAGTCAATTAGAGAACTCTTGTTCGTCGGAAACCAGCAGGGATATCCAAAAGAGAGGATTACGCAGAAAGTCAAAAGTATCCACAGTGGATATCGAGATTAAGTGCATCCAACAAAAGAGTTTCCAGCTTTCATAAAGGCAAATTTTTTGTTTGATGAAAACTAAGAAAAACATAAGAACCACCTATTTTGTTGATGTCTAGATTCTTCTCCGTCATTCCTTTCTTCAGTATCACCTCCCCTAAATTCAGAGAAACTTTTTATTTTAGAACAAATAAGGATGTAAAAGGATGAGTTCCATAAAGATTTAAGGCATATAACAATTGAGTAGGGACGAACTGGTAGCAAATAGATTTTTAGACAACTTTACTTATTTTTATATTCACACTTAATAACCAAAAATTCAATGTGTCGTTTTTGTTCAATCTTAAATAACGGAACCTCGGCAGACATAAAAAACTATAATTTGTTACAAATTACAAAACTTTTGATCTCATTGATTTTACGAAGACGACTTCATTCTGCTTTATACTGGTAATCACTTTATGACAAGTCTCCATACCAGCTCCTGGTTCCTACCTGAGAAATCTGAGCGTATTCCCCACCCCTGAACTATAGTTAGAGCTGGGTTTGGTTGGAGGACCCGGTTTCCTTCGCACTTTCGGCATCGGAGAACTTTCAATAACATCGCGATGTTTGCGCGTATAATCTGGATTGTAGAACCGCATCTGGAGATCTAACTGCTTGCGGTCCTATCCACACACGCACACATTTAATCTTTAAGAAAAATATAGGTCTGAGACAGTTAGACCAAAAAAAAAACGTTGAATGGGACGACGACATTTCAGTAATTACATGTAACTTAGATATTTTCAAGTTTATTAATAGTGATACCGGTTGCTTGAAATTTGAAATGGGGAAGTGTACACTGCATAATTTCGTGTTTTTTATGCTTACATGACTATTTCAAATCATGGCTGCAGTCTAACAACTGTCTTCATATTACGCAGTTAAAGAAGTCGCACTGTTCAGCTAGTTATCATATGAAGGTCCAGGAGACTTCAATAAAATCTAAACTGAAGCAAAGTTATAGCTTGCATGTATTCAAATGGGTCAAAATCTCTTATTAAAAGGTGCGCGACCACGTGCCTGAAATAAGTATTGATAATGCTGAAGGTCAGCTCGTTTAATCTTCAGGGATAATGAACAATGTGCCAACCTACGTTAATCAAATGATACCGCGACTAGTAAAACTAATAAGACAGGTTAACAATTAAATGCCATTACATTTGATAAATTTAAAATATTATTTATGTTGAATAATAAAAGGATCAACCAATTTGTATATTTTACATGAAAAGAGAAACCATGAAAAGCTTTACAATATACAGATTTTAATTCATAAATGACAAAATAAAACTGGGGGGAACCTGTTCAAAGAATAAAACACTAGCCAGTGTTGGAAATTTAGAATCGCAACGGGGATGCATTCATGGTAAAAAAAAGTCAGTAGAAAATATGTTTACAATTTAGCCGAGTAGGATCATTTTCCTTCCGTCGTTGAACTTGAGAACATGTTCGATCTCCTTCGTAGGAACATTGTCCTAAACAATTCAAAATATTTAAAAGATGTAAAAAAACGTTTAACAATGATAAAACTTAATTTAGTTTAAGATTTTAAAACTTGGTTTAATTATTTGATAAAATATGATTCAAATTCAATATTTCATATAACATTAACCATGCCCTCCCCCCCCCCCCTCCCAATACTAAAAACCTGACCTTGAAACTGAAAACCTTGATTTCCACGCAGGTTTCCATGATGAGATATCCTACATCCCAGGAGGAGAGCTTGTCTATACCATAAGAAGCACACAGATCTATAGTCAGCTGAAAAAAAACATCAGCTAATTTTAAACTAATGTCAGCTGATTCAAAACTTTATGTCAGCCGATATTAACCCATTGTCAGCTAATATAAAGCCAAGATGATTAAAACCAATGTCAGAATATCTATAAACTATGTCAGCTGTTTAAAAAATTAAACCAATATTAGTTAAAATTTATACTCAATGTCAGCTGATTTAAAAATAATGCCAGTTAATTGAAAAAACCAAGTTCAACTGATTTAAAACTAATCGTCAACTGGTGCCGAGTGAAAACTAACATCAGCTGATAAAAAACCAATGTTAGCTTATTTAACACCAATTTCAGATTATTTAATACCAATGTCAGCTGATTTAAAACCAATGTCAGCTGATAGTTATCTTTATTTAATATTAAGCCAATGTAAACTGATTACAATTATTGTTAGCTGATTAAAACCATTGTCAGCTGATATAAACACAAATGTAACCTGATTTAAACACAAATGTCACCTGATTTAAACACAAATGTCACCTATTAAATCAATGTCATTGTCAGCTGATCTAAACCAATGTCGGCTGACCAAACACAAATTCGGCTAATTTTAATCCACAGCAGCTGATTTTTTTAAATGTCAGCTGATCTTAAAAACAATTTCTGCTGTGATATCGATATTACCTTGATATTGTCTTCCCCTTTATGCCCCAACGCTACACCATAACTAGGAATTATAGTTAATCCTTGTAGTTCGAAGGGAGGACCTACTGATGAACAACCAGTTATAACCTTCGTATCTTCTCCTACAGGGTGTCCGTGCAGGCACTCAACCTTCTCCCTGCATTTATAGAGGGATACAATGCCTGACAAGATCTAGTATAAGTTTTGTATAGATAACACAAGATTAGTTAAATACCGGACAAGATCTAGTATAAGGTTTGCATAGATTACACAAGATTAGTTGAAAACCTGACAAGATCTAGTATAAGGTTTGTATAGATTACACAAGATTAGTTGAATACCTGACAATATCTAGTATAAGGTTTGTATAGATTACACAAGATTAGTTGAATACCTGACAAGATCTAGTATAAGGTTTGTATAGATAACAAAATTGCATCTACTCCTGTGTCTTCTATTTAAACAATAGCTCCTGACAAAAAAAAAAATAACAGCTTTTTCAAGACAAAAAAAAAACAATTCCGCGTAAGATCTTCAAAGGAGAAGTTTAAAATCTCTTTACACAAAATGAAGTTTTTTTATTTTTCATAATTTTTCCGGTTCACAACAGTATCCTTAAATTAAAAGCTTTGTTTGATCCAGTATGAATTAGATATTAATGTTTATAAATTAAAAACTGATTATTTTTTCTTGTTGTGTCTCGACAAACGTGACTTGCACATTTCTACTGCAGGAAAACATATGAAAAAAACCATATTCCAAATTACTGAACAGATAACGGTTTTAAGAGTACCGTTGTGAATCGAGCATTGCCACTTTGCGATGAGGGTCCTTTTAATTAAAAAAGATTTGAGAACTCTCAAATTTTTATTTTCTAACTTAAAGCTGATTTCTGTTCCTATTGAGTGAGTTATGAAGTACACTATCGACCTCTAGCTGATGTCGATTCTGAGATTCAGATATACGACTCAAAAACTCTCTGGCCAACAAAATCCCTTTTCAACATTTCTTGTAAACTTTTAGTTACTTTCATGATCAGGGAAAAATGAAAATCATTCTAAGATGTCGGTTTTTATTAAATCCCTTTTACAAAAAATGGCAAGTTAAAAAGCAACAATTAAAAGCTAAGCGCCCTTGGTTTACTTGTTCATTGAATTCTACCACGGGTAGAAGAATAGAAGAAATCCTGTAAAATTAACAATCCTCTTTATGTATTTTCATGGATTAAGTTTCCCTGTCTTTATGAAGAGCAAACTCAGGCCAGCAGTTCACCATCACTGCTTCCTTCAGCGGCAAACCTTTCCACCTGGCAAAATAAAACACGTCATTTTCCACCGTTAACAAATCTGTTAGTTTATGAGAAAATTTTATCGTATTTTTGAGTAATTAGTTCGTATATTTTCATACTCATCTTTTCGATTTATAAAGTTAATGAGAAAATATTAAAAAAAACAAGAGCCCCTATGTGAGAAATTAAACAAAATAAAATAAGATTATCAAATTATTTTTTTCCAAAAAAAAATTGGGGTTAACGTTCTTTAGCCGCATAATCTGTCCATTGTCCAATGTCCATGGTTACTGCTACTGAGTACTGAGGCCTGAAGTCAGAATTTGTTTGTTGTGAACTCAGAATCAAGCATTGATCTTAATCTTATGTAGATCTATGGATTAATCGAATTCATTTCAATTTCCCCTGTTGGTCATAACCTGCAGGAATAACTTAAGTTGAGGAATCAAGCATTGTTCCTCAATTTGAAAGTGCCCACATTGGATATTAAAATCAAACATTCTTCTCTTTGATGTCATTGAAGAGGACACAAGTAGCCTATAAAATTTGAATATATGTGCTTTGTTTCTCTACCTGATAGACTCCAGTAACTGATGAAGGCAATGATCTGAATCCTGATTAAACGAACAGTCTGGAATCTACCTGATACACTCCAGTAACTGATGAGGGCAATGATCTGAATCCTGATTAAACGAACAGTCTGGAATCTACCTGATACACTCCAGTAACTGATGAGGGCAATGATCTGAATCCTGATTAAACGAACAGTCTGGAATCTACCTGATACACTCCAGTAACTGATGAGGGCAATGATCTGAATCCTGATTAAACGAACAGTCTGGAATCTACCTGATACACTCCAGTAACTGATGAGGGCAATGATCTGAATCCTGATTAAACGAACAGTCTGGAATCTACCTGATACACTCCAGTAACTGATGAGGGCAATGATCTGAATCCTGATTAAACGAACAGTCTGGAATCTACCTGATACACTCCAGTAACTGATGAGGGCAATGATCTGAATCCTGATTAAACGAACAGTCTGGAATCTACCTGATACACTCCAGTAACTGATGAGGGCAATGATCTGAATCCTGATTAAACGAACAGTCTGGANCCATTCTGTCCTACCTAAGTGCATGAAGAAGCTCCCAATCCTGAGCATTTAAATTAAGAAGACTGAAGAACATCTCTACATTCTCTAAGCTCAGGGTTAAAAACTGAAAATATCTGAATTAAGTTTACATTACTCAAACTCGCCAAGAAAACAGGGGAAAACAAAGCTTCTTGTTAATTTTGCAGGAGTTTAGCTGAACATTTACTACTTAAAACGAAGCAAAAAAAAAGGATTCATAACAATATACGACGAAGTCATAGGATTTTAAAAGTTATCATTTTTTTTAAATGTTCATCGATTTAAAGAATTGTCAGTCGTCTGATCAAATCATTTTAGCAAATTTTAAAATTATCAGCCGATTTTACAAGTTATCAGTAGATTTTAATAATTTATCAGTCAATTTAAACAATTGTTATCAGTCAATTTAACAAAGTGATAGTCGATCTAACAAGTTATCAGCCGATTTAAGAACGTATTTTACAAGTTATAAGTATCAATTAACCGACGACTTATCAGTTATCAGTCATTTAAACAAGTTATCATTTATTTCAACAAGTTATCATTCACTTAAACAAGTTATCATTCACTTAAACAAGTTATCATTCATTTAAACAAGTTATCATTCAATTAAATAACTTATCATTCATTAAAAAACTTATCATTCATTTAAACAAGTTATCATTTATTTAAACACTTGTTATCATTTATTCACACAAATTATCTCTTTCGCTTAAACAAGTTATCATTCATTTAAACAATTAATCATTCAATTAAACAAGTTATCATTCATTTAAACAAGTGATCATTCATTTAAACAAGGTATCATTCATTTCAACAAGTTATCATTCATTTAAACAAGTTATCATTCATTTCGCTTAAACAAGTTATCATTCATTTAAACAATTAATCATTCAATTAAACAAGTTATCATTCATTTAAACAAGTGTTATCATTCATTTAAACAAGTTATCATTCATTTAAACAACTTAACATTCATTTAAACAAGTTACCATTCATTTAAACAAGGTATCATTCATTTAAACAAGTTATCAATCTTTTAAACAAGTTATCATTCATTTAAACAAGTTATATCAAAAAGCTGATTAAAAAATCTCTGCCGATATATCTGACGTACCTTTGGTTGTCTGATAAGTATGTTTGTATGGTTGGCAAACTCTTGAATTATGAAATCATGAATCTGGTCGTCACAACACTTCTGGTTTAGCTCCATGTACTAATTAATGTACAATAGTCAAAGAATTGAAGGAAAGCATAAAAAAATTAACTTTAAGATAAAAATAACTTTTTCCGTTACTTGATAAATTTCCAATAATTTTCAGTTCTGTTAACTGATTTTAGCTCGGGTTTTCAAGTCGGGTTTATTGATACCCATAACAATATGAATTTTAAACTTTTCGATTTTACATTTACTTGACTTTTTTCCTGTTAAACCCAATTTGAGACGGCAAAATGTAATGTGTGTAAAAAATAGGTTTTGTAAACATGTCTAAGAATTCCTGAAAGATTTCTTTTTGCTTCTTGAAAATTATTGCAGAAAAAATGTCACCCTTCAATGGTTTATATCTTCTATGTACCTTAAAAACATCCTTGGGCAAAGTCTTTTTTGCTTTGTTATTAATGATAAAGTTTCTGCAGAACTTATCCAAATCCTTGATTAGATATTTGTTGGCAAGATACAAAACCTAAAAATATTTAAATTAAAAAAAATAGAAAATGAGACAAAAAACATCACAGCAGAGTTAATTCTGGTTGAATATAATTCAAATTGATAAATTAAAATAATATCAAGTATTAAATAAGGGTCTCCCAGACGTAGTTGAAGAGTGGCATGTTCAATTCACAACAGTACTTTTTAAACCTTTATCTGAGTAGTAAAGAGGAATTTTTCGTCGTTGTTCTATCATTTAATTCTGACAATTTCTGCATAATGAATATAACACTGACACAGGAAGTGTACTGTTGTGAATCGATTACTTCATTAATCAACAAATTATGAAGAACGAAAAAACATAATTTTAACAAATTTTTAAAAATGTCACCTCAAATGCTTGTTTTAGGCTGAGAAGAGGAATAAACTGTGTGAAAACAAATTGAATCAGGGATTTGATGTATTTCGGCTCAGAATCATAAATCTAGAAGAAAAACAAGAAATTTATTAATTTTCAAGGGGGATGGTGGAGATGTCATGTTTGAAGTAGTGGGGTGGGGGGCCTGCCGCCTTCATTTTTTGTTCAAATCTACCAATTTTTTGGCTGCACGTCTAATTAGTAATCGAAATTCCTAAAATAAAATCAAATTGAATTTTTATGACCTCCTATGACCTCTAATGACCTCTAATGACCACAACAAAGAGAAAATATTTCAACTATGGCTTTATGCACATCAAACGAAAGCTAGGAACCTAGGGAATACAGTAGCAGCAACAAATCCAGTGTTTGACCTTCTAATGAGCTCTTACGATCTCTAATGACCTACATGACCTCCAAAAATGAAAATGTTTTATCTATGGCTATATGCATATTAATTAAAAGCTAGGAATTCCAGGAATACAGTAGCAGCAACGAATCCAGTGTTTGACCTTCTAATGACCTCTAACGACCTCTAATGACCTAAATGATCTACAAAAATGAAAATGTTTTTACTTTGGCTTTATGCATATCAAACGAACGCTAGGAACTCAGGAAACACAGTAGCAGCAACAAAACCTTCTAATGACCTCTAACACCTGTAATGACCTAAAATGACCTCCAAAATAAAAATGTTTTAACTATGGCTTTATGCATAACAATGAAAGCTAGAAATCCAGGGAATACAGTAGTAGCAACAAATCCAGTGCTCTCCAAGATGGGGGGTTTTCAGTTTTCAGTTGTAGATTTCATAATAATCCTTTACCTTAACTACTCCTGTTTTCTCCAAGAAGGCGGACTGAAAAAGAACTTCAAAAACATCACTTTGAGCAACTAAAGCGTTCATCTGTGCTTCTACTGTAGGTTCCCCTGGTAGGGACGGAAATCTAAAAAGTTTAATCAACTCAAAGGCTTGAACAAAATTAAAACTCACAAAACCCGGACTGTCGTTGTAATAACAAACGATTCACAACAGTATACTTTATTCATTTATTTATTTTTTATTTTTAAGAATTTGCAAATTATTTCTGCATAAGAGCGTCCTTTAGATCACTGTGCACGCCTAAAGGTTGTCTGGTTAGTCCTCTCAAGAATAGATCTATTAAAGATTTAACAAAAGGAAAAGCTAGAACCCCCTGAAAATATCAAGATTAGGAATAGCTAGAACCCCCTGAAAATATCAAGATTAGGAAAAGCTAGAACACCCTGAAAATATCAAGATTAGGAAAAGCTAGAACACCCTGATAATTACAAGATGAGGAAAAGCTAAGAACCCCCTGATAATTACAAAATGAGGAAAAGCTAGAAACCCCTGACACTTACAAGATAGGGAAAAGCTAAAACTCCATTACACTTACAAGATGAGGAAAGGCTAGAACCCCCTGATAATTACAAGATGAGGAAAAGCTAGAACCCCCTGATAATTACAAGATGAAGAAAAGCTAGAACCCCCTGATAATTACAAGATGAGGAAAAGCTAGAACCCCCTGATTATTACAAGATGAGGAAAAGCTAGAACCCCCGATAATTACAAGATGAGGAAAAGCTAGAACCCCCTGATAATTACAAGATGAAGAAAAGCTAGAACCCCCTGATAATTACAAGATGAGGAAAAGCTAGAACCCCCTCATAATTATAAGATGAGGAAAAGCTAGAACCCCCCGATAATTACAAGATGAGGAAAAGCTAGAACCCTCTGATAATTACAAGATGAGGAAAAGCTAGAACCCCCTGATAAATACAAGATGAGGAAAAGCTAAGAACTCCCTGATAATTACAAGATGAGAAAAAGCTAAGAACCCCCTGATAATTACCAAATTAGGAAAAGCAAGAACACCCTGAAAATATCAAGATTAGGAAAAGCTAGAACACCCGATAATTACAAGATGAGGAAATGCTAAGAACCCCCTGATAATTACAAGATGAGAAAAAGCTAACAACCCCCTGATAATTACAAAATGAGGAAAAGCTAAAAACCCCTGACACTTACAAGATAGGGAAAAGCTAAAACTCCATGAAAATTACAAGATGAGGAAAGGCTAGAACTTCATGATAATTACAAGATAGGAAAGGCTAGAACACCCTGACAATTACGAGGTTAGGAAAAGCTAGAACCCCCCAAAAATTACAAGATCATGAAAAGCTAGAACCCCTGATTATTACAAGATGAGGAAAAGCTAGAGCCCCTTGATAATTACAAGATGAGGAAAAGCTAGAACCCTCTGATAATTACAAGATGAGGAAAAGCTAGACTCCCTGATAATTACAAGATGAGGAAAAGCTAGAACCTCCTGATAATTACAAGTTGAGGAAAAGCTAGAACCTCCTGATAATTACAAGATGAGGAAAAGCTAGAACCCCCTGTTAATTACAAGATGAGGAAAAGCTAGAACCCTCTGATAATTACAAAATTAGGAATTGATAGAGCACCCTTACGATTACAAGATGAGGAAAAGCTAGAACCCCCTGATAATTACAAGATGAGGAAAAGCTAGAACCCCCTGACATCTACAAGGTTGATTGAGAGAATTTACCTAAATGTAACGTCGCAACATTTTCCTTCTTTAACCTGGGCCCATAGTTTACCAGCCAGAGGGTTTCTCATCTCAACCGAACCTTGTGCATTCAATCAATCAATTTTTTTTATAAATTGATCAATTTATCAAGTTATCAATACAACGATCGATCAATCAATTCGTCAATCAATCAATTCATCAATCGATCAATCGCTTCATTAATCAATCAATCACTTCACCAATCAATTAATCGATCAATCAATCAATCGATCAATAACTTCATCAATCAAGCAAGCAATACATCCATCAATCAATCAATTCATCAATCGGTCAATCAATAAATCAATCAATCCCATGAATATCTTCACGTGGAACTTTTAAAGCTTCAGTCTGTCTTAAAACAACTTTACAAGTTTACATTTTTAAACAATTTTAAACAGTGCAATAAAATTTCGTTTTCAGTCCTTCATCCATCTGCTGTACACTTTAAGAATACAATTCTATAGTGGTTCATTAATCAAACAAAAAATTAATTGTCATTTAAAGTCATAATTTTTTAAGAAATATTTTCTAAACCTCTTTTGAACTGATCAAGACTAATCGGTGTGCCTGAGAATAATCCGATAGAGGTTCCGTTCACCAGGATCTATTATAAATAATGATAAAGTAAATGACAATTGATAAAAAATAATTGGAAGATTAAGAAACCCCAAGGGCTTCGTTTGGGGGTTGAAAGTACCCCCCCCCCC